TCAAGGATTGGAAGGAGTATTTTATTATATGGATGATGTGTTAATTACTGGTGTGACGCAGCAGCATAATCAACGTTTGGAGGAAGTGTTTAGGAGAATTCGTGATAAAGGCTTGAGAGCCAGTAAGGAGAAAAGTGTTCTGGGGGTAATGGAGGTTGAATATTTGGGTCATCAAATTAATGGAATTGAGGTGAAACCTTTGGATAAAAATTTGAAGAATATATCGAATATGAAACGGCCTGACACTAAGGCTGAGTTGCAGTCTTTTTTGGGTATGGTCAATTATTACCACAGATTCGTGGAAGATTTTGCAAAGGTTGCGGCTCCGTTATATGATTTATTGAAAAAGGGAATTCATTTTGAGTGGAAGGATGTACAGCAAATTGCTTTTGAAATTTTAATGGAAAAAATTGGAAAAGAGCCGGTTTTGGTGTGTTTTGATAATGAATTGGAAATTGTTTTGGCGGTGGATGCCTCAAATAAGGTGTTGCATTATGATAATTTTTATTACAATATAAATTTTATTTTTGTTATAATCTAATTTTTATTATTTGATTTTTATTATGTGTTATAATCTAATTTTATTTTATAAACGGCGTAACCTTACTTTTTTATATTATTTTACTTTTTTATATTTCGTTTTATATTCTAATTTATATTTTAGAAAATGTATATAGAGTGTGAATCGAAATTAACTAATGGGCCAATCAACAAAGCAAGTGTCAAGTTACATTTAAGAAGGGATGCCCAACCTAAAATTATACCGCCTAGACGTATACCTTATTCAAAAATTGATCTTGTTAGTAATGAACTCAAAAAAATGGATACATGATAAAATAATTGAGCCGGTGAATGATGTCCGATGGGCAAGTCCTGTTACCGCTGTCTATAAAGAAGATGGGAGCATTAGGCTTTGCGCTGATTTTAAGGATACTGTAAACCCAGCTCTAGAAGACTTTAGATACCCTCTACCACGAATTAATGATCTAATTGCTAAACTTTCGGAAGGAAAGAAATTTACGAAGATTGACTTTAAAAATGCTTTCTTACAGATTCCAATTGATAAAAGTTGCAGAAATATTTTAACCATATCTACGCATAAGGGATATTACCAATTTACTAGACTTCCTTTTGGGCTTAAGACCTCATCTGCAATTTTTCAACAGATTATGGATCAAATCTTCGGTGACATGGATGACGTTATATTTTATATTGATGATTTACTTATAACTGGAAAAAACGATGAAGCCCACCTTAACAACATAAAAAAAGTATTTGATAGGATATCATCGTATGGGCTAATACCTAACTTTAATAAAAGTGTGTTCTTTAAAAACAAAGTGAGGTTCCTGGGTCATGATATTGACGCTAAGGGGATTCATGCTAATCACGACAAAATTGAAGCAATAATTAATATGCCAGAACCAAAATCAGCTGCTGAATTATCAACATTTCTGGGAATGGCTGGCTACTATAGAAAATTTTTGAACAATTTTGCGGAAATTGCCGATCCTCTTTATAAGATTGTCAACAAAGAAAAATGGGCTTGGAACCTAGAACACTCTAAAAGTTTTAATGATCTAAAGAAGTTAATTAGTCTTCCACCTGCTTTGACATATTTTAACCCTGAATTACCTATAGGGATAGCCACTGACCCATCAAAATGTGGTTTAGGAGCTGTACTATTTCATATTGAAAAAGATGGTAAAGAAAAACCTATAGCTTTCGCGTCGAGAACTTTATTAAAATCTGAAATGAATTATACCAATATTGAGCGTGAGGCTCTCGCTATAATGTTTGCCATAAAGAGATTCCAGGAATATTTAATCGGCACAAAATTTACAATTATTACTGACCATAAGCCTCTAGTTCACATCTTCACCAAGGGTCTTAAGGATAATAGCACCATGTCGTTAAGACTCCAGAAGTGGAATATTACATTAGGGGGATATGATTTTAATATAAAGTATAAAGCCGGTAAATATAATGTTGTTCCTGATTGCCTTTCGAGATTACCACAAGAATGTCGTGATGAAACTATTGAAAACGTAACCATTATAAATGAATATGAGGATTTACCTAATAACTTTGATCAAATTCGTGATGAAACTTTAAAAGATACGGAATTAAAACAAGTCATAAATGATATTAATAACAACAGACCTATAATGAATAATATTTATAAAAACATTGAATTGGAATTAAGTATAATTAAAGATTGACTTTACAAAAGCAATAAAATCATAATTCCGTCTAATATGAGAAAAACTATACTACAGTCATTACATGAAGGTCACTTGGGAGCAGGAAAAATCAAATCCTTAGCCAAAGATTACATGTGGTGGCCTGGCATAAATAATGATATTGTTATGGAAGTGAAAAGTTGTGACGATTGTAATATATATCACGATAATCCTATAAAGATACAAAAACCATGGGTTTCGGCAACCAAACCGTTTGAAAGGATACATATAGATTATGCGGGTCCGTTTTTCACAAAAAATTGGTTGATAATAGTCGATGCCTACAGCAAATTTTCAATTATTATTCCTGTTAAAAATATTACGACTAATGTTACTTTAAAAGAAATCTTTAAAACTATTTCGCTATACGGAATACCTGAAACTATAGTTACTGATAACGGCACTAACTTTACGAGTAACGATTTTGAAAAATTTTGCAACAATTTTGGTATTAAACATGTGCTTACATCTGCTTATCACCAGCAATCCAATGGCCAGGTTGAACGCATGGTTAGAACGTTCAAAACACATATGAAAAGGAATATTAAAATAGACCCAGATATCGCACTTAGCAAATTTTTACTTAATTACAGAAATACGCGTAATGATACTACAGGAGTTACACCATCACAGAGAATGTTTAATCGAGATATTAGAATTAAATGGGACTTATTAAAACCGATGGAGGAGAAGAAGAATAAAATAAACGTTACTTTACCACGAAGTAGAACTTTTAATGTAGGAGATTTTGTTTGGTATAAAATACAAGGTGATGATAAATGGTGCAAAGGTATGATCACACATAAAGAAAGTGATATGATGTTCCAAATTAAGACCGAGAAAGGTATTTTGAGGAGACATTTAGATCATATAAGAATTAGAAACTGTTTTAACACAATTATTAACTATGACTCTAAGGATTCTTTTAAGGAGGGAAGTATGGACAAAAATATAAAAATTACTGATAATAACGATATAACACCTATCTCTAGACCTGTGCGAATAAAAAAAAAACCTGCTTATTTAAAAGACTATGTAACTTAAAATATAAAATAAATGTTAAATTGCATAAACTAAATTAAATATTAAAACGCTTACATTAAAACGCAAAAAAAATTAGAACGCTAAAAATATAACAATCTTATTGATTTATCATTCTTCATTTATTCTTATGATGAACTATTATTTCTTATTCGCAACTTATTTATGATAATAACAATTTCGGAAAAATGATAATAACAATTGAGTACTATCAAACAAGCTATGATTAATGGAGACAATTTACGATATGGATATCAAGCTTGTGATTAAACAAACCAACGTGCAAAATCGAATTGATCAAACCAACGATTGGGACAAGCCAACGTTATGATGATTTATGATACAACTTGATTACCAAAATGATAAACCACTTGGACAACAAACTCTCTATGACTTCTCCGATGGAATTATCAGAAGAAGGAGAATGTTGCATTATGATAATTTTTATTACAATATAAATTTTATTTTTGTTATAATCTAATTTTTATTATTTGATTTTTATTATGTGTTATAATCTAATTTTATTTTATAAACGGCGTAACCTTACTTTTTTATATTATTTTGTTTTATATTCTAATTTATATTTTAGAAAATGTATATATACCTTAAGAAAAGAAATTAGTTAATGAAATATCTTTTTACTGACTCGAACCTCGCGCTATATCGTTAAGAACTTTATTCTTTTCATAAGGAAGTGGGTGGAGCGTTATTACAGGTAATAGAGGGCTTGGAGAGACCCGTATTGTTTTTCTCGCGTGTTTTTCGTGAGGTAGAGACCAGGTATTCTGTGATTGAACAGGAGGCCCTGGCTGTGATTTTCGGGTTTACAAAATGTCGTGAATATTTGATTGGTAAAAAATTTGTAATTTTTACTGATCACAAGCCGTTAATTCACTTATTTCGGAAAAACAATCGGGAGTTAATGATGTCTCCCCGATTACAACGTTGGTTGTTGTTGGTGGGCAGCTTTAATGTGGAGATCCTATATCGTCGCGGTAAAGAGAATTGTTTGCCTGATATCTTGTCCCGATTAGGATTAAATGAAGTAAATGATGAAGGGTACAAGGATAAGGTTCGAAACAGTGAAAAGGCTCTGGTTTGTTTGCTTTCGCATATGCTCAAAGGGGGTCCTACCAATTGGGAGGATCTTAAGTTGAGTACATTGAGAGATAGAGAAATGACTAGGATAAAGTTATGTGTAATGGGGAAAAAGACTTGGGAGGAGGATTGTAAAGTTTTTAAAAAGGTGGAAGAGGAATTGTCGGTGGTGGATGATTGTTTAATGAGGGGTAATCGTGCCATAATTCCGTTCAAATTACGGGGTAAAATTTTAAATTTGTTACATGCTGGACATCAAGGTCAAGGGAAGATGAAATCGTGGGCCCGTGAATATGTTTGGTGGCCGGGTATGGGAAAAGATATTGAAAATATCACAAGGAAATGTGAGCCGTGTATTTCGTGCGCGGCGATGCCCCGAAAGGAGGTGGGTCAGATATGGCCCAGGTCGAGAAAACCGTGTGGGAACGCTTACATGTTGATTTTTTCGATTTAGATAAAAGGTCGTATTTTTTAGTAGTAGATTCGTATTCGAAATTGATAGAGTACGAGGAGGTACATGGATATACCACTAAAATTGTTGTAAGGAAATTGAGGGCATTAATGGTCAGGTTCGGATTGCCGGATACCATTGTATCTGATGGAGGACCTGCCTTTGATATGGCAAATTTCAAGCAGTTTTATAAAGAGTCTAGGATTCGACACATTTTGACCCCGCCCTATCATCCCAGCTCAAATGGTCAAGTTGAGAGGATGGTAGCAATTGTTAAGAATTGGATAAGGAAAGCCGGCAATCAAGGGAATGGGGCGTGTTTGGCCCAGTTGTATTACCTCAATTTTAGGAATAAGGAGGGAGTGACACCTGCTGAATTGTTTTTGGGCCGGAGGACTAGGGTTCCCCTAGATTTTCTAAGGGCCGAGAGTCACGAGAAGGGAGTTCGGAAGGACCGAAAGATTAGGTTTGAAGTTGGAGAAAAAGTATGGACTCGTTTGTTTGACGGGAGGGGCAGGAAATGGGCCAAGGGCATTGTTGGGGAAACAGAGGTTCAAAGTTGAATTTGATTCAATTAGAAATGGGCGGCTCAGTTATGCGCCACAATGATCATACACGACCCCGTGAGTAAACCTGAGGTACCTCATATGATAATATAAATATGAAAATATATATATAAATATAATGAAGGTGCATCCCGAAGGATTAGACTCGTTTCCGAGCAGTTATATAATGTAGTCATGTGATAAATGAAGATTTGGGTAATGTAGTTTATGTGGGAATGGGAAGTTAAAGGATCAAATAGGAGAGGGGCTCATCTTAAAGTGGTAAATATATATATTTATGCAAAGTTAAAGCATAAAGGAGTAAAATGTACGTGAAGTTGGTAACCTTTTTGTTTGAGTTTATGTATTATTATATGATGGTATTAGAGTTTATTGATAGATGTTTATGTAAAAAAGTGAAATTGAATAAGGAGGTTATCTCGGTAATATTACGAGAAATTAAAGTATATGTATGTTAAACTGGTTTAATGTTCCGGCTGTCGGTAATAAACAAGGAAAAAAGATTGAAATTGTGGTAATATATGTATTGTAAATGAAGAAATGTAAAAAAATAAAAGGAAAAGAGTTAGAAAAGTTGTAATTCATTTAGTGAATACATTTTGTTCATAGCCTTATAGGATAAATCACGGCTGTTGAACATTAATATTGGTATTGGGAAGATATTTTTGTTAGAAAAAAAAAGTATTAATTAATTGAAAAGTTTTTTTTTTAAAAAGTTTTTTTTGGGTTAGATTCAAATTTTTTAAAAAATTTATTCGTTTGTTTTCTAAAAGAAGAAAAATATTACTGCTTCCCATTTAATATTTTTTTTCTGTGAAAGTTGAGTAAAAGGCCATATATATCCCTAGACAAGAATCTCCTCATAATTTCAGAGTATAATATTGGGGCAGTATCTAACGATATATTCATAAATATTCCCACGAATCCGCGAACGGTATATCCATAAATCTTTCCCCAGATCGGAGTAATGGAAACAACCTCCAAGTTAATTGATATGGGGGATTTTTATCTTCAGATCACGGTAATCAAGAAAAATAATGGTATGATTCTGAGCTCAAGGTCCAATAATGAAAATCAACCACCGATTCAGGAGACGCGACGACGTAGATGTTTTAATTGTCAAGAGGTGGGACATTTACGGCACCAGTGTTCTCGGCTATCGCGGGAGACGCGTGTACCCCTGGAGGCCATATCTGAAAATCGTATCTATCAAGGACAGAAGCGGGGACATCACGATTTGGAGGGAAGACAACCAACAGACGCAGCTCCCTCAGGGTTGGATAGGGAGATGGAGAGACCTTCCGTGGATATTCGTCGTGGGGATGTTCGAGATCAGTTTGTGAATGGAGTTCGAGGTACAGAGGGAGGAGATTTTTTGCAGAGATTAGTGACCAATACACTAACAGTTGATGCTTCGCAGACGGCACGAGCTGATGATTTCTGGGTGAATCCAATGTCTATCTAAGAAGATTATTCTTTAAATAATGTCGTAAGTTTTTTTTTGTAGATATTTTGTTTTTTTTTGCGCGTTTTTGTTTTATTTCTAATGCCACGATCCCATAAAGGGGTGGCATGTCGTATTTGTAAATACGTTTATCATATTTTTTTTTACGCGAAATGTCAATCAACCGATTAAAATAAGGTTGATTGGATATAAAATTAGATGTAATAATATATGTTTAATTTTTTTTATATAAATTTTTTTTTTTTTTGGAGAAATGAATTTTCTTTTGAATAAAATTTTTGGATTTCTATTGTAGTTTTATTTGTCTTTTGATTTGATAATTTCATATAATTCTTGAAGATTCGTTTTTTAGAAAGTTTGGTTAAGTTTCTAGGATTTGTTTAGGTAGATTTTAGATTTGTTTTAATTTGTGTTTGTAGGTTTTTTTTAGCTACAAAATATCTTCAGGTCATTATTTACCGCACCTTTGTAATATATTAAAAATATATACCCAAAAAAAAATAAGGGATTGGTTTTGTTGTTTTTATTTTATTAGAAATTTACAAAAATAAAAAGTTTCTGGAGGTATAATATTATATTTTATTTATTTTGTTATTTTTTTATAATATTTTCTATTTTTTATTTTTTATTATTAATTTAATTGTTTATATTTTTATTAATAATTCCTCAAGATAATAAAAAAAAATATTAAATAATTTAAACTATTTTTAGTTCATATATTATATTTTTCTAAATCTCTAAAATAATAAATTCTTATTCTTATAATTTGTTAACACCTAGCTGGCACCTAATTAAGGGAGTGGGGGAAATAATTTTATTTTTTTGGATATAAAATTTATTTTTTTATTTAATTTTTTTTTATACTACGTGGGGGGGGGGGGGGGGCATTTTATTTTACTTTTAAATAAAGATATTAATTTTTAGAATATACTCATGGAAAAAAATATTAATTTTTAGAATGTAGGGAAGACCATATTTTTATTTAGATTTTTTTTAATTGTAGAATTTTAATTCATGATTTATATTAAAGATCAGAACAATATTTCAGGAAAAAAATAGTTTGGGGTTCATAAATAGGATTTTTTTAAAAAAATATATATTATTAAATATCTTAATCTTCAAAATTAGCCTCGTAATTAGCTAATCGATTATGTCTAACACTATTCTTGAAGATTATAATTTTCCATATTTAAATCAGAAAAGAGCTCAGGCAATAATAAATAAGATAATTTCCATGCATAACGTTTTTTTCAAACGATTTTTGGATAATGTTACGAGGAATTCTTTATTTGCAAACAAAGGATAATAATTTTAGGAATTTCGATTAAGTTCATGTTATCAAAATTTCCGTTAAATAGAGTTTAAAATTCCTGAACTTGAATTAAACCCTAATTTGACAATCTAGCAAATATTTTTCTCTTATTATTGTACAAAAGTTAAAAATAAAATGTTAAGATCTAAACATGCCCATTAAGAGAAATGCGATGGTCAAAAATTTTATACCAGTAACCATATTTATTTTTTACCCCCGCTCCCAAGTCAAACTTATATACGCCATATTAAGGTAGAACTAGACTTATTTGATACCCATCCATCATATCAATATTTGGTGCTGATAAAATTAATCCTAACCTACGTACGTAGTAATTGTCATAGAGAAGTGGCTCTTGGTTTGTTAATTATTCAATAGTTCTAATTAGCTATCTATTGATGCCTCCAATAATCATATATTATATACCTTAATAAGGTCAAGAAAAACTTAAAATATATGGTTGTGCTTGGGGTTAGTGCTCATAGCGAGTTTAGTCGTTTTTTAGACTCAAGCCACGGATAGGAGTTTTATACAATTAATCAATAAATAACAGTTATATAAGCAATCGAGTTCATAAAATTCAATAAACTATTTATAGAGTACACGACTAAAGTTCAAAACTCGAATCGTAAAAATGTCGACTAATCGACTCAAAACTCGACTTGAGTCGTAGTTAAGCCGACTCGGCTGAGTCTTTTAACAACACTACATTAAATTAATCCAAATATCTCGCTCAAAAATCTTCAAAGAAGATCTTTTGTACAACTCTGGTTATTATTGTTTATAAATACGAAATAAATATTAAATCCTATCCTAATAAAAATATAAATCTGGCATACCTAAGTAATGAATATAATTATTAATTCCAATAATAATCTCACTAGCAAGATATTTTAATTTTATACGAATATAATATGTAATTTTTCTTCGGATATAGAATTGCTTAGATATAGATCAGTTCTTATTAATTTGCATAAGCTGGCAGGCTCTGTATAAAACAATTAAATAATTTCTCCATTTAATTTTTTTATAAATAATTCTACATTAAAGCAATAAATTTATTGATTTTTTACTATTGTATTTAGCTAAGCTATTTCAGGTAATATTATAAAAATGATTTTATATTGAAATTTATCTTTATCAGACTCAAGGGTTTAAAGAATACTTATAATAATTTGAATAGTATTGTGTATATGTATAATATATCCAATATATTTTATAAATATATTAATTAATTAGTAATTGCAAATGAATCATGTTAACATTTATTTTATTCTAGGGTTTCTTCACAATCTCGCATCGCATATGGATGGATGACAATGGAAATTAATGAGATTCGAGTTATTGGTATGAGATCTGCGAATATATAATTTAAATAATGTTGTATTTTAGTGTGCGAAGCTAAAAATCTGAAAGGAAAGAAAAAAGGTAATTTTAATGCATTTTTCTTATATATTTTGAAATTTTGCCTTTATAAATATAATAAATAATTTAAAATAATTCAATTATACGAGTTATTGGATGTCTGATCTGCTATATAAGTAACATTTATTAGCCCTGATTGTTTTCTTTTAAATCAGTCTTTTAATTAAGTTACAATGAGAGATATGGGTTATTTATTAATTAAATAGTTATAATATGATTATATATTGTTTAGAAAACTATATTTATATGCATAATAAAATTTAGTATGTACGATTTCAGCAAAAGTAATATATAATTTATTGTATATAGTAGTGTTGTTAAAAAGCCTGATTCAAGTCTACCTTCAAAAAAGGCCCAATTAAGATTTTAGCCAAAATAATACTATGTAAACCTCGAGATTTGTTTAAAAGATGTCCAAATCTTTTTGCCATTTGTGAACCAAATCTCTAGGTTTACATAATAATATTTTGGTTATGATCTTAATTGAGCTGTTTATTAAAATCCACTCGAATTGGGATTTTTAACAACAATGGTGTACAGGAATAATCCACCAGCTATTACTTTGTATAGATAATTAACATGTTACCTTTTTGAAGATTTATTATTTTATATTAAATTTTTATAAAGATTAATTGTATATTTATACCCTCATTAAATCTATCATAATGATATGCATTGGGCCTAATTTTTCAAGCCTGGCCCTGCCCGAAATTTTTTTAAAAAAGATTTGCCGGCCTGGCTCGAACCTGGAATTTTTTTAAAAAAGTTTTGCCAGCCCAACCCGAACCCGATTTTTTTTAAAAAAAAATTTACTGGTCCAGTCCGAATTGATTTAAATAAAGAAATTAATTTTTATAATTACTCAAAATTAAAGAGATATGTTATATGTCATTTAGTTTCAATAAATAAAATCAAATATTTTTATTTTACATAGGGCCGGGCCTAACTTAGCAGATCTCTAATTGTTATACCTTTTTTTTATCTCATTAATTATAGACACCTGCAACTTTTTAAAGATATGAAGGTGATTTCTTTGCATGTGATTTATATATTTGATTGATCTATATTTAGTTTTTGAACAACCAATTTATTTTAGTTATTTTGTTTAAAACCAAATGAGTGGATCCCTTAATTGGGGACTAAGATTGCAGGAAATGAATTTAAAAAAAGGAATGGAATGTTCCCTTTTGTGATTATTTTTATTTAACAATTAAAGTATTTCCTTTTGTTAGTTGTTCTTTTCAAATATACCTACAAAAATATGAATCAAAACAATAATTTACTTCATATTTTTTAAATAAAATTGCATAATTATATTTTTGAATTTTATAAATTAAAACATTATTTTATTATCGAATATTGGATTCAAAAATAGAAAAAAAAGTCATATAGTATAGATGTGGAAATAATAAAAAAATGAAAGTTCTCTGTTAAATACCCAATAATTTTGAATATTTATGATAATTTTTAATGATTTTGTCAAATACTAAATAAAAAATGATTTGACAAATAAAATATTTTCCTTATTTGAATTTTTAAATAAATAATTTTGTTATGCATATTCATTCAATTTTTATTTCATTCATCTATTCTATTATAATTTTACATTCAATTACATAATAATTAGGGATGTACTGACATTTTTTATTGGGTTGGATTGGGCCAATATGTCACCCATTTTAAAATATCGGTTATTGGCCAATAAATAAAATTGAAATACATTTTTATATTTATTTATTAATAATTAATTATTAAACATTGTGCCATATTGTTATTTTTTTATGCAACCTGTTTATAAAAGTGTGTGATAACTCTTCAGAATCAGTTTTTAGTGAAGCTGGTGATATTGATAGTCCCCAACACCACAGCCTCTGATAAATTGGAAATTTTGATATTTCTAAAAAGAAACCTTCCATATATTTATTTTAAATATTTATTTCAAATTTTATAATATATTTGTTTATTATTTATTATGTAAATAGATAAATGTTATTACTTATTATATAAATAAGTGATTTATCAATAAAAATATTTTATATACTTTTAGAATTGAATTGAATATAAACTATAACTGATCATTATAATATATTTAAATGATATATGTTATGGTATAGTTAAATTATAGATGTTATACTAATAAAAATTATATTAAAATTTAAAACCATTGATAAGATATGATATTGAATTGGTAATCAGCCGATATCAATTTAATATGGGATTGGATCAGCCACCAAAAGATGGTATCAGTACACCCCTAATAATAATTAATTTCCTTTGATAACAACAACATTTTGGGGAATTAGAAAATACTATATGAACACAACACTCAAAGGAAATCATAATGATTGAAGAATCTCATTTGGGCTAACCTTTGCGCCTAGATTTATATATAGATTATTAGCTGAAAGATTGTCAATTACTGGACTTTATAGTTTATATTAACTATGTCATCATGTAACATTTCATCAATCATAAAGCAGTTTTAAAGTTGTTACAGGGAGTAGACTTTAAAACAACACTGGATAAAATAAAAAATTTACAATATACTGTTTTGTTTTTAAGGGATATTGATATAATCAGAATTTTTCTGAGACAAGAAAAAGTCAAAGCGATTTGGAAGAATGGGCCCATACTGATAGTGATTTTTTTAAATCTCCACACTCAATGATTAATTTAACAATTGAATTGTTCAAAATTTATTAAAAATACTTTTTATCTTAAGATTTTGATATGAAGAAATTGATTATCGAGAAAAGAAGACAAACACTAACCTTAAAATTTGCAGAAGAAAAAAATACAAATCAAACCTTTTTATCCTCACATTGGCTCCAACTATCTTAAATGTGGAGCTGGGATATTTATTTTTGAAAAAATAAACATTTAATTGCTTCCCTGTTTAAACTCTACACTTCATCATTGTAATATATGATATCGAATGGGCATACCTTGTAAAGATGGTTGTCACTTGTTCCTGCAGTTTAAATTTTTTTAAAAAAATTTCGAGCCCTTGAATACCCATTTTCTTTCTAATTGCACCAGTAATTTTAAAATAATTTTTTGGAGATGAATTTGCATGGCAATATTTTGGCTCGATCTTATCTGTATATAGCAATTTAAATAAAGTGATAAAAAAAATGAAGTAAAATGTAAATTAGTGTCAGTAAAGAGTTCAATGAATCATATAAAAAAATAACTCAATATTATCCCCAAACTATTTTACAATTTATTGAAAAAAGGTATAACTTTTATGACAATAAATATAAATAGCTCTATAGTCAAAAATGGCGATTTACCCCTTCAAAAAATAGATAAAAATTTTTTGAAAATTTATATACAACCAAGCCTTATTAAAGTTAAACCGTTCTTATTTTTCAATTTCTCGTTCAAATGTCTCTACTGAGCATTTTAGGTTTTAATGAATAAATCATAAAGAAAAAATCGTTCTTAATCATTTGAATTATTTAGAATTTATTTCACACAAACGCATTATTTTAAATGTAATAACGTTTATCCCGCGTAATCCCTTTTTAATAATTTAATCTTCCGCCATAAATTTTATTGGATATATTTACTCCACATCCTTGAAGGCCTTTGGTCGACTACTTTTTGGAGGCAAATTTATTAGTGGAAGGGGGGGGGGGTTAGGATTTCGAGTTTCCGACTTTTGATTTTTACTACAATATGATTGATCAATTTATATAAAACAATTTACGAAATACAAAATGAAAGAAGTATGAAAAAACACCAAAGCTGGGATTAATTTTTTTTATAAATTTAATCCGGGCGAGGCTTGAAAATGGATTTTATCAAAAAAATCTGGGGTGGGCCTAAGAAATCGACATCGGCAGGTCTCTGATTTATCTAGTCGTCGAATGAGTATTAAAGTGTTTTATATTCCACCCATTTATAATTTCAATGAAATTACTATTTACTTGATACCATTAAATATTGACAAAGTTGTTAAGGAGCGCTCCTTATAGGGTTGGAGTGCAAATTTAATGTATAAATTACATTTTTTAAATATTACAAATCTATTTATTTGTTATTTAAATTCAATAAAAATGAAATTCTATTTTATTTAAATTTATGCTATATTAAATGTTGAGCCGAGTTTTATATTGGTTTTTCATCTAATCAATTATTAAAAATCAAGTTTTTTTTTCTTTTGATATTGAAAATTGTAAGTCATATTTATATTCATTTTATATATAATAAAAAATAGTTTTTTATATTATGAATCCAGACGAATAATTATCTATTTAAATAACTTTATTGCAGATTTTCAAGTTTTTAATGATGAAAATATCATTTCGGCTATTATCCATCCTGCATTCAAATTAAATTGGGAATGGATAAAAAATGCCCAAAATATGGAACTAAAATACAAATTAATTAATTTTTTAAGAAAACAAATTCCTGATGCAAAAATAGCTACTAGTTCACGGGAACCCTGCGATGATTTGGATGATTCTTTTGGATTCCATGAAAATGATCATCGATAATATATTGGACAAATATTTTTTTAATAATGATATTACTATTTTTGATAAATTTCCTGAATTAAAAAATATTTTTATAAAATACAATACCCCGCTTCCCTCTAGTGCTCCTGTTTAGTATTGCTAAACAGGTTTTATGGGAGAGGCGTGGATGTTTGTTGGATTCAAATTTAGAAAATATTTTACTTTTAAACGTTAATAAAAGATTATAAATATTTTGATATATTATTTAATATAAATAAAATTTTTTTGATAAAAAAATATGATTTTGTTTCGTGTACTTTCTAAAAAAGATTAAAATCAAAAGAGCGGCTATAAGGTGGACACTCTATTACTTGTAGCGTGAGCTAGCTACTTTTAAAAAGGAATGTTGACAACTCTGAATATTGATATCGATAACAATATTAATTTTTAGCATTCTAACTTAAACCGCCATTTCTATACATAAATTATATATGTTAGCGGTAATGTTTTATTTTTTCAACTTAAATCATTTTCTGAGCGGGTTTTTTTAATTTAAAAATCTGATTTTGTAGATATATTTCCATCATGTTTGAAATTCTCATCTTACGAATTGTATTTGAGTCATTTATGATTCATATAAAAAATATATAGAAAATCGAATATAAATTATATTAACAGGTTAATGACAAAATTGTCTGATTTTCATAGGGTAGGTATTCCAAACATGGTGGAAAACATTTCCGATAAAATCAGGTAAATATGATTTAAAGTTGTAAAAATAACACATTGTCGGTAAAAACACAATCACTTATATATATATTTTAAATCTAAATTTTATTTTTAAATTTGATAATGAAATCCATCTAACAAAGTTAGATTGAATTCTTTTTATATAAAATAAAATCCTTATATTTTACAATCATTAAAATGAATAAAATATTATAGTATCCGATAAGGGTTAGCCCAAAACGGTTAAACCGGTATTAACCGTTATTATTTCCCAAACTATACAAAATTTGTCATTCGAGCCTCTAAAAATGTCACGAACCGGTTTGAACCTTTGATATTTTAAGTCTTTCAGTTTTGACTAAAAAGCATTATTAATTATTTTTAGGTATTTTTCTATATTGCTATTTGACCGTGCCAGCTACCCAAGTTAGCATATAGAAGTGTATTCAGCCCTAAAATTTATTCTTCCTCCTTATAGATATAATTAGACAGATGAGAATCGTGATAATATTTTATTTCTTTATATATGATTCGTATTTTTAGAGAATAAGTGATAAATTTAAAAAATATTCTTTTTTTTGTATACATAATTCTAATACGCTTGTATGCGAAAAGGTCTGAAACTGGTTTAAAGTTACGGGAAATTATATTTTTGCGAACCGAACCTAAACTGTTATTTTTATCTGAGCCGAAGCGATATTTGTTAGTGTTATTTCTGACTTGTTTTAAATGTTAATAAATATCTTATTAATTCGAGTAAAAATAAATGTATATCAAAAAATCGATAATATATACATTTATATTTGAAAAAATTAATAAATTACTCCTATTAAATCAAAAATATTTTAAGCGATCTGTAATATCGAATTAATTTATTAAAATATATTTTTAAAAATCGCATATTCAATATTTTCAAGAGCTATAATTTTAATAGACCTGTATTTATATATATATTTATCAAAATATTCAGATCAATGTCGGGCATCTGTTATATTTGGAATTGGAAATGATAAATTTAGGACTTCAATTATCGATGAGCCATCTGGGAATATTGTTTGGAACGAAGAACAGACAATGTAAAAATAAAAAAATGTTTATTTTAATTTTTTTTCCCGTAATTTTTTCTCTTTTCATTTTACAAAATTACAGAAAAGTTGTCAATAATAATTCGCACTCTAGTAGATCGATGAAATCCCAATTAGATGGTTCTTTAAAAGGATACAAACCATTGATATTTACGGTAATGGACAAGACGCATGTTATCGGAAAAGTTTTTGTACCTTTAGCCAAATTAACGCCCACTTTGAAAAGATACACTTCTCAAATACAATTGGAAGAAAAAATGTGGTCTTCCCTCGAAGGCAGTGAAAAAATATCTGAAGATACACTGAACGCTCACAAAAATGCGCCTTTGCTCATATATGAAGCTCTGATAACCAAATATCACATCAACAGCACAAAAGCCAAAGATTTAAATCACTCACGTCACGTGGCTCTGAATGATACCAAACAACTTCCAAAGAACTTAAATAACGATCGAATTGACAAGACCAAATCTCTCAAGAGGTCGTCACCCAATGAGATGTTCCGATATAATGATATATCACTTATGTCCCATAAAGACGGGTCCGATATACCCCGGATCTCTCATTTTGAAAATGACATTAACACCGATAACACATCTTTAAAAGAGGATAATAAAGATAATCCCGAAAAGAATCCATTTAATGTTCACAACGACGATTCCAGCTTAGCCACTTTTTTAAATCCCAACAATGATAATCAAAAGAAATCAAATTCCTTAACGAGAGTTCTCGGGCAGTTAGGGTCAGTAGGAGGTCCCTTCGCTTCTAGAAGCCCTCACTCCTTTGGCGATTTTAAAGTGGACAAGAAGAAAGAATCTCACAGAAGAAATTACTCCTCTTCTAATGCATCCACTTTTTCCGTTTCCTCGTCTTCCACCACAAATAAAGAAAGCAAATTAGCCGGCATATCGTCAGCTATAGCCCATTCTTCTTTTTCCAACGTCGTGAAATCTTTCTTCACAACTGGAGAAGATAGAGATAAGGATATAGAACGTGATACTTCTATAAGCGGTAATATAAGTAAATCCGGGTTGGAGGATTTAAGTGATCATTACTTCGATGCCACAAAAATTAATGGAAATATCAAGGACCTCCAGGAATGTGATATTTCTAAAAATCCTATAATAAGTGGCGTTTCTCCGATGGAAGCTGCTATAAATGTGGAAACCAAAATAATTATAAGGGGTCAGAATTTGGGACTGTACAAAGAAGATATATTATCGGTTCATGTATGTAGTGTGGAATGCTTACGCTCTTTGCATTATTTTGCCCCTTACAAAATTTCCGTGTTACTTCATCCTGACTCGACATGTGTTGGAGTGGGGGAAATTTTGATGGTAACAAAATCTGGTGGAACTAGCCGGTGTTTAGTAAAATTTCGAATATATGACCCGGTAAATGCGGTTATGACATTTTAAAAATTGATAAAAAAAAATTTCAGCCCAATTTCTTATATATTAATATTGCAATTAATATGTTTTATACTTTTAAAAGAAGAGCGCAGCTCAAATATCTGACGAAAACGTAAATGCTGAAAAGAATATTTCCGGTTGTAATAAGCTTGTATCCAAAGATCTTGAAAATTCGCGCAACAATTTATCAGTGTGCGGTTATGGTGGATTATACTACCTCGATTTGATGAAACAAAATATGACGTATAACGATACTAACCAACAGCCTACTACATTTAGTTCCACCTTTACTCCAATTAATGCTGCACATAACAATGTCAACGAACAAGTTTTTTTTAATAAAAATAATATAATATTCGTTAACAAACCTTTATTTATATTTATTTTGAATTAAAGAATACAAGCAAATTAGAAAATATCGGACCTCAAAATAATCCTTTCAACAACATTATTAATTTTATTCGGCAAGAAAATAAAGAATGTCATTATGTCCCAGCTAAATCTATTAAACCAACTACGCTTGATTTGTATTCATTGGAAAATTGTATTTTTTTAAAAAAAACTTAAAATTGAAAATTTCATTTTACGTATTTACATTCTTAAAAGGTTCGCACGATGGCTTAATTGGCGAAATATATAATTTGAGGAAGCACATTGAAGGTTTAAAAGTCTACTTTATCCTTATCTTACATGATTCTATAACAGATTTGACAATGGAAAACAAATTAATGAGGTATTACGTTGATTCATTAGTGCTAAGGGTAATGGAGGTGTGTCCTGAACATCTAGAAAAATCTCGATTCAATCCAAAAAGACAACTTTAAAATTTTGCATTAGACAAATCAAAGAGCTACCAAATATTATCGTGCAATTTTTTAAATATAGGATTTATAGTTATATTTTAAAGTCTTCCATTTAAGACATTTACTAAAAATAATAAATAGCATTTTTAAAAATTATTAATTTTACTTTATTCTATATTTTGGTTTATATATTTATCGAAATGTGATAATAATATGGATTAATTTAGCAAATTTAACCTATTTAATTATACCTATTTAAAATATCAACCTTAAAATTAATTTATTAAACCTAATAAAATAGTAATTTATTTTTTAATTATTTGACCTTTGAATCATGCTATAATATCTAAACCAGCCATATTGTTTTCAATTTTAACTGATAACAACCATAATAATTAACCCTTATTTAAAAAATTGCCTAATTAAACCATGAGATAAGAGGAAAAAAATTTATCATAAAAAAAGAAGGAATAAAGCGGTGTTAATTCTATTTATTTATTAAAATCTTATTGCAGAATTACATTATATAAAGATAAAACAATTACGGCTAACAAGTTCAATTTGAAAGCCAATTTTATGAATTAAATAATTAGAATTATATTTTTGTGGAAATAGGGGCTTTTTTCAAACAAAATAGGTACATCTCTGATCTAAACTAACAAAACATAGTGTTTAAAAAAGTGAGCCACTGATTTTGAAAGCGTCTTTTTTATAACGACTGGGCAAAGTCGGATTTGGGCATTGATTTTAAAATTATTTCGAATCTCGACAAAATTATAAATTTGTTTTCATAAATGTTTTTTTTCTGTTAATACTAATTTCAAAAAATTTTATTATCAATCAGCATTTATAATTTTGAATTTCATTAATTTTTTTTAAATCGAACTGGCCCTAATATTGACTTAAAAAAATTTAAGGAACCTAAAACTGGAATAGTTTTTTCGCTTCTTTGAATTTATATTTTTCGATTAAAAACTTTTGGCCTGATAATAGATAAAAATTCAAGCTTGGTATAGGGCCTAAAAATAAATTTTTGTCCAACATAAGTTGAATTTGCATAGATGGCTTTAAAAAGTTCTATTCGAGCAAAGCCTTTTTTTTTAACTTAAAGTAATTTTAAATGTTTTAATTTATCTTTTCTTTATTGAGCAAGAAAACACGTAAGAAAAATAATATATAAATAAATAATCTTTATTTTCATTTTTAAATCATACATAATAATATAAACGAATACATTATTTTTTTTAAAAAAACCCGAGTTATTTATTCCAAAAAATTTATCTAAAAATCACTTTTAATAATTCATAAAAATATTATATATTATGCATATTCATATTGTATTTGCAATTTAAAAATTGTCATGTACAAAATATTTGGTATCAAATTAGCCTTAATATAATAAATATTTTTTTAATCCACGTAATTGTTGCATATAAAGTATTTATTTTGTAGGATAAAACGATAGGATTCTTCAAATGCATTATGTTATGGCTATGTAGCTATTAGTGAAAATTATTTGGCGCCAAATAAGCCCAATAAATATCTAAGTAATTGCATACATTGTTTATAAAATTTCAGGGAAAAAATAAAATGTTAGTATTTAAGCTTCTAATGTATTTTGACTATTTAATTATCACGATAATAAGGCAAAAAAATAAAGATATATCAAGCTTTTAATTCCGAATCTGATTAAGCCAAACAAGATTTCAAGGACCAAAAATTACTGAACACGAATTCATAAAAATTGGGTAAGGATTATAAAATAATCATGATTTACGGTTGTTCAAAAAAATTACCAGCCACTAAAGGTATTTCTTCGAGAATATGAGAAGGGAAAAGGGCCTTACCCTTAGTTTTACCGTTTTCCAAGATTTTACCTAGCGAATACCCATTTTTTTCGTCTCCTAATAACTCCAATTTATTACCGGCTTTTAACTTCCCGTATGGGTATACTGTTTCAATTTCATTAGGTGTTATGGGTTCCTGATCTCTGAGCGCTTTGTAATATAGTCCTCGACCGCCTCCGTAGTAATAAATATCGTCTAAGGAGTAGAAATTATCGGAAACATCTGTTTTGAAGTGCGCATTGGCAAGTTCGAAGGCTAAACGGCATACCTTATGTTTAGAATAGGAAAAAAGAATAAAAAATTAAGTCTATACTATCTAGTAACAAAATTATTAATTCTCTATAAGTTTTATAGTGTTTGAAAATAAATCGTATAATTATGAAAAAAAACTAATTTAAAAGGCCATACTTGTGAAGAAAAGGTGCAAACTAGGTAATTGCAACGAGCTAAGAAATATATGTCCAAATAGACTCCTATTAATCCACCTAAGGAATAACGAGTGGCAGTATTTGCCGACTTAGCAGCTTCACGATTCCCTAGCACAATGTAATGGGGATATCTGTGATGAATCGATCATTTATTTACAAGTTAAATATTTCGATCAATAATCTTCATGCCATTAATACAAATCGAAACTTCTTTGTACCAATAATAAAGGGTCTAGATTCAAATACTGATCATATTCGCTCAAATATTATGTTTGATATTTTTTTAAAAAATCACGTGATGTATGAAAAAATTTGAATGCGGCCAAAAAATAAAAAAAATTTCTTAATATGAAAGCAGTAAAGTTATCCAATAAAAGTAATATAGGAGTAACTTTTTAGTGGCTTCATTGAGAACGTTTATATCATCGGTAGCTATATATACGCGTCGCTGTATTTTTGAAATTTGAGTGGGTGATGAAGATAATATCGAAGAGTTATAAATTCTTTTGAGATCCAAAATATCGAAATAATCATCGACATGTTTCATATATTCGGATATATCGTGGAAACTGGCTTCTGTGCCTATTTTATCTGTTCGCCTTACGTGTATTCTGCGAATATTTTAAATTGTATAATATATAAATATCCGGAAACCGGGAATAAGGCACATTTTCATTCCAGATTTTAGAACGTTCCTTGAAAAATTTTCATTTAACCAAAAAATCTTATTCATCAATCTAGCATTTAAACAATAGTCACATTTATTTTCCAGAACTATTTAGGGAAAGATTATGGAATGGAATTTCTGTTCCCGTTTCACGTCCCTATTAAGGCTTAGGTGGGCTCTTCCAAGCCAATGGAGTAAGCAGGGGGACAAATCCCCCCCCCCAAGCCAAAAAATGTAGATGCCGGATATATTTTTCAAAAATATTATTGTTTATATAAATTTATATTTGTTATTTATTCGTATCTCATATTAAATATATATTTAATTACATTTATTATCGCATTTATCAACTAAGTTATTTTATCAATTAATTTCGATTTCAAGTTTTCCGGCGTAATATTTACTTATTATTTTCAAATTTTTAGTGGCGTAATATTTATCTACCATTTTCAAATTTCTAGTCAAATAATAATTATTTCTGAAACTTCTTGTCCAACAGGGAAAAAGAAATTGCAACTTTGTCCAACGCGATAGAGTCTCTGCCATCAAGCAGTAACAGCTTTTAAGGAGTTAGAAGAGCCATTTGCTATTACTGAAATATCACAATGGCCTGAAAGAAATATTTCCTCAGAAGCAAGAAAATTATTGGATTCAATGCTTATTCCAAATTTTATTTCTCATTAGAATGTATTATTTAATTATACAACTATTTTAAGTATTACTTTTCAAAAACATGACATTGACTCGATTAAGAAGATGAGAATAAAGGAGAGCATTTTATCAGAACTCAAGGAAATTAGGACTAATGTTGATGAAGAATTTCATATTTTATATTTTATTGTTGAGTCAAAAGCAGACTATACGTGTTTAATATTTTTCTCCCTCGACTTGTAGCAAGGCAAGCTCATCGTTAAAACATTAATATAGAATTAGTAGAAGAGTGTATCTTAAATACAAATACATTTATAACCCAAATAAATGAATTTTTAATTCATTATGCAGCACTTACTAATCTGCAAATATTACTTCCACAAAAGCCTTCCCACTTTTTCAGATGGTTATAGAAAAAAAAATATTTGTTAGATTCTTATTATGAAGATGTTAAAGTATCTTATGATGCCTTACTAGCTGAATAAGATTAACTATGGTTGATATAGTCCCAAAAAATGCTATGGATGCTCTGCATTATTTCAAACACATTTTAGATTAAATTCCCAATGTATTAAAAGGGTTTATAAACTCTTCCCATTAGTAAACTATGAGAGAACATTCTCTTTTTTAAGAAGAATAACAGAGGCCTACAGAAGTATCATTTGCAGGGCACGGCATGGATTTTTTTAAAGATTTTATACGGCCCGTGGGTTTTTTTAAAAAATTTTCAGGCTCGGCCCGGCTTTTTTTAAAAAAATGTTTAGGCCCGACTCGGCTTCTTTTAAAAAATTTCAGGCCCGGCCCGGCTTTTTTTTAAATAAAATTTTCAGGCCCGGCCAGGATTTTTTAGAAATAAATTATATTTATTTTTGATTTTTATAGCTAATAATAACGATTTCAAATATACGCTGTTTTAAAAAATACAGCCCGGATTGGGTGTTTTTTTAAAATAATTCAGGCCCGGCTTGGGTGTTTTTTTAAAAAAATTTCGGGCCCGACCCGGGTAAAAAAATTAAAATACTGTCCGGCTCGGGGGCCGGGCCTGCAGGTCTCTGAAAAACATACCAAGAAGTACAACATCTGAAAGTAGATTGAAAGGTTTGGATCTTTTGAATATTCATAGGTACTTGACGACAAGCAAGGATGAGATAATTGAAAAATTAGTTCAATCACAACGAAGATTGGATTTTACATTGTAAATATATAACATACAAAATGCAATTATTCCTAAGAAACTTTTGGTGTAAAGGCTCAAAAAATTCCAATTTCTATTTTGAGTCATTTAAGTGATTCTTTACATATAATTTTTTTATAATTCACATTAATTTAAAATTTTGTATTAGAAATATATTAGTCCTAATAAATTTATGCTTGATATTTTTTAAAAAAAAATTATATTTCTTAAAAAATTTTATTATCCCCCCCCCAGACCAAATTCCTGCATACGCGCCTGTTCCAAGCCATTTTACCTAAGTCGCCTATGCGTAAATTGGTTAGCCTAAAGTAAGAATAACAAATATTATAGTGATTGAGCAAATTTAGAAATAATGAACAAATTTAATATCAAATGAAAAAATGCAGGCTCAAACGACAAAAGTCGACATTGCACACAACAATTTTATAAAGACCTCACTAAAATAAATGACGGTATCATATAAAAAATTAAAGATTCTGAATTATCTGTATAGGACGCTTAGCATGCTAGAATCGATATTATATATTTTTTTTAAAGTTTTTTTATATCTAGAATATTCAGTAGCATCATTAAATATATTTTAAACGATTTTGGTTGAGTAGTTTTATTTTACCCCTTTTTAGATAATTTTGGCATGAGTTAATTATCCTCAACATTTTCATAATTTAAAATTGGACCTTATATTAAAATATCAAATCAAAATAATTAATAGAAATGGAAATATATCTATTCAAAATTAGGATTTATTAATCCCCACATTGGATAATTTATTTACCGGAGTATTAAAGGGTTATTAATATAATGTAAAATTTAAAAATATGATTTATTTTTAAGCAAATGAGAAGCATTGTCAGTAAATAAAAAAAAACTCTTTTTAAAAAATAAATCCCCATGATGCACTTGTTCGGCATCTTCTATAACATTTAATGAGCGCTCTCCTTATTTTGAAATATCTAATATCTTTATTGCCAAAGATGATAAAATATTCATATATATTTATTTTAAATTATTTTTCAAAGATAACATATATTCTGAGTAATAATATATTTACAATTTTAAACTTTACAGAAAAATTGATCATACCTATGCTGCTAATATTTATTCCTTAACTCAAAAGGTTAAACATTATTACTTTATAAAATATAAAAAATATTTTCCAAAAACAATTGACACCCTAAATAATCTTGAAATTCGAAATTTGGAGGAGCCAGTTAGCCATGTAAGCCTTATTTATTAAAATTCCTATCTATTTTAATATTCATTATAAGATAACAATATTTATTTTATATTATATAAAATATTTTATAAGAAAAAATATCTTTCAAAAACAATAAATATTTGCCATGATCAATCATCGGTTTCAAAGAACAATTTAAACCAAAGATCATACAAGAATGATCCTATGCCAATTATCAAGATGTTCATAGATAGGCAGCCAATTTATCAGTTTTATCAAGGAAGGTCAATTAGCATGATATATAAAGTCGTATTGGGGTTCGGAATCCGTGGAGATTCGGAATCTCTTGATCTTAAATCCTTTACCGAGAGCGATTTAAAAAATTTTAAAATTCGATTTAACCGGAAATGTATTCTAGCATGGGTAGAGTACTCAAACTATAAATTTCAAACAATTTTGCCATGAACTTTAGAACTACTTCTAATTTATATTAATTTTTATATGGATTTTTCATATAAATTAAAAAATACTAAAATGTCTATCGCTGAAATTGGCTGAAATTTATATAGGTAAATACTCTACACATGCTGGAATAATTCCTGTAAAATCAGAATTTTAAAATCCAAAAATCGCCCTTAGTAAATGATTTAAAATTGAGAGATTCCAAATCCCCACGCCGAAACCCCATACGACATATATATTCAAATTAAGAAAATAAAAATGTGGGTCTCTTTTAATAGGGAAACTAGAAGAAAACAGAAGATTATCGATTTAAAGTCTATCATGAAAAAACTAAAGACTAAAAATTTGATATTTGGTGAAGGAGGGGATGGAAATTTTTTTTACAGGCATCCCTTTATAACCTTTATCAAAATTCAATTACGCAGTGGAGGCGTAAAAAATCCGTGGAAAATAAAATACACCACAACAATTTGTTGATTACCTAAAGGCATATAATTACCTAAGGGATCAATTCTGCTTACCTTCAGAGTCTACATTGAGAACTTGGAGCCAACAAATTTAAATAAGGCCAGGTTTATCTTAATAAATTTTTTTTAACTGTTAATTAACTTTATTATACTAATTAATAGATATTTAACTTTCATATAATGTCCATTTGTTATAATTTCGTTATATCGACAATTTATATCAAGGTAAGTTATAATAATAGTAAAAAAATATAATATTAGTAAATCACAATTATATAAAATCATTAATTCTTGCTATTTTTTTTAAAATTTGAATTTAGGTTTTTTTGTTGTTTCCAATAGGATTAAAAGTTTCAATCAGATTCAAAGTCCAATTATTCACCATATTAAACCTTGATTAAATATCTATTCGTCGTCATTACATTGGTACAAAAAGGAGTATCATGGATATGTCGATTTAGGAAATAGAATCAAACCATCAGAATCTCTTCCTGAGGCCAAACAAGCACTTTTTCTCAGGGCGACATGTCTTAATGGAATATGGAAAATTCCAATTGGATACTTCTTAGTTTCATATGTTACTGCAAACTTGTTTGCAAATATAGTGAATAATGCGTTACATTTACTACATAACACGGGCGCCATCTGTAAAGCTATAGTATGTGATCGTCTGTCAGTAAATAAAAATGTGCTAAGGGCATCTTACTGCGTTCCTTATTTTAGTCACCCAAGAAATTGTGATTAAAAAGTATACATATTATTGAATGTATGTCATATGATTAAGCTGCTAAGAAATATTCTCGGTAATCAAAAAATTTTAATTAATAATAATGGATCAGTAATTAAATTACAATATTTTTTATAAATAGATAGATAATAAATTGGAAATATATAACAAATCTTCATGATTTATAGGATAAGAAAGGACTACGTGCTGCTAATAAAATTCATCAATCTTATATTGACCATCATTAGCATAAAATCAAAGTACAATAAAAAATACAATACTTATCTTTTTTAAAGGTTAAACTTGCTGTTCAAGTTATGAGTAGCTCAGCGGCAAAAGGTATTCTTTTAGAGCAATAGCTAAAAATTAATGGATTTGAAAATTGTGAGAGCGCAGTTGACCTTATTCATATGATTGATCAGTAATAAGATATATTAATATTTTTAATAATATCTTCCTGAATGTTTGACTTTAAACACGCGTAACATACGTGCTAAAGGGTTTAAAACCCCACTAATTAAAATTTTTTATCATACTATGAAAATTTCTTTGAAAAGTGTCCCACAACTTTAATATCCTTAAAGTATGAAAATGGAAATTATGTTTATAAATCAAATAGAAAAGTCTGCATTATAGGTTTAATCTTATCGATGAAAAGCATTTTGGGCATTTGCATTAATCACAGGCAATTGTAAAAAAAAATATTAACACTATTATAAAAAGTGAGGGGGTAATCATTTATTAGAGCGAAAGATCCTTGGGTCAGCACAAACTCGAAAAGGACTATTTAATTAAGATACTCAATTATAAGGGGAAAGTCTTCAGGGAGTTAATCCCCTATGGTTCCCCTCCTAATGATTATGTTGAATGGATTAAGATTATTAAATATTTATATTATAATCATACATCCTGAAGAAGGTAGGGTTTATTGAAAATGGTAGGTATAGATCCTTCCATTAAACTACTAAACCTTGTAATAGATGATATAAAGCAATCAGTGATAAAATGAGCTCCACAAAGTTTTGTATATTTGGTCAGAGTGAAGTTTCTATTGATTGCCTTTATCCATTTTGATAAATAGGTTTTATAACTGAGAGGGAATTTGGAGATAAATTTAATAATAAAATATTATATATAATAAATAATATGATTAAAAACTAACATACGAAAAGTTTTTTATTATTATTAATAGATTTTGATTTTGTTGCATGATATTGCACAACAAAGGCTCATAGTCTATTTTTATAAAAGAAAAAAGAAGAATTATCATTCATAAATTATTAATACACTTTTTAGGAAAAATGAGTCGCAAATATCATCAAATAGTTCTTTTTAGAAATATATGAGAAAGAATTACTAGAAAATAACAAAGATGTAAAAATTGAAAATAATCATAAATAATGGACTATTATTAATAGATTTATTTATTAAAAATCAACTCTGGGAAAATAGTGATTTAAAGTATATCTTCAAAATGAATTCATAAAAAACCATTATTAATCCTATATATTATATATAAAAAAATATGTACTTTGTTTGTGAAAAATCTTTTTAAAATAACACATTTCCAAATAACATCAATATGGATCATTAAATTATGATAATATATATTTGTTGTTTTAATTTTAAAAAATTATATATAGTAATTTATAATATGAGAATAATTAATATATGAGTTACCAAAATAGCGGGTTCAGCTGATTTGCATTCAACCACGCTTTCAAATGCAATATTATATAGTGAGTTTAGATATTATTATATGTCATTGAAAAAAATAGAATTTATTTAAAAGAAAGAGTTGCTATAAAAAAATGTGTTGGTATATTTTACTTATTATTTGCAACTAATGTTGTTAAACGGCTAGATTTTAGCCGATTTAAAAAAACAGCCAACGCAATATTTTAGCCATTGCCTAAATCTCGTGATTTGGCTAATAGATGTCCAAACTTTTTTGCAATCTTTGAGCAAAATATTTAGGCTTGCTGAATATTTTTCAGGTTAAAATATTGAGTTAACCCTTTTTAAAGATTGGCACAAATCGAGCAGTTTAACAAAATTATTTACACCAGGCAAATGATTTTTAAAATAATTAACGAGGCAGACAGATTCTATAAACATTGCCCATATTTTAAATGAGATGAGATTTAATTTTTTGAGGGAAAAAAAAATTATCTTCATATCGGATAATGCCTCAAATAATATCATCTTGACGATGAAAAACGTAAAATATCAAAGTGTTTCCTTGTTTTGCCCATTGGTTTAAAAGTAAATAAAATTTTATACATATCAGATGGGTACTGGTCATCGACTTGGTTTTGTATGAATATAGGTTCTGATAGGTTGAAAAATAATTTGTGGATAGACACAGTACCTAATGACTCGTAATATTATGAACAATTTTCTGGCGATGCTTATCGTATCTAGTATAGTTAGGTAATGGGCAAATGCCGCTCAATCTACAAGCGAGCGCCGTAGAAAATCCGCTAACATTAAGGTTTTAATTTATATTAATTCCTTTCAAATTTAAACTTATATATTTTCTTAAAAATTCCTAGACCAAAGTGTTGCCGCGTTTTTAGCCGGTTAAAAATATAGTAATTACCCAACTATAGTGCCTAGTGTGATTATCGTGTCTTCTGAGTAAGACTATAAAGCCCTAGCCCAATTCAGGGCCCCATATGCTATTTTTTTTATTTATATAAAAAATTCATTATTGTTATAAAAATTATTTTATAGTTTTTTTTTCTTTCCATATAAAAATTATTTTATATTTTTTTTTTCTTTCTGTTTTATAAATATAATAATTTATTTTTATAAAAAAATTTTATTATAGTTTCGTAACTAACTATATTTATCTTATTTACACACCATTTTAAATATATATGCTCTTATATAAAGAGTATAAATATTAAAATTTTTCATAAAATAAATTCTAAGAATATTTGAGGGGCTTTGGTATATAAATTGATCGAAAATTACAACTCACCCAACTATTGGATGTTGAAAAGGGCTTCGATTCGATTTGCTTGGGTTAGAATCCTGATGAATAGTATCGTACAAAGCTTCAGCTATTTTCGTCAGATGAGGCGTGGGCCTAATCACGAAGGAGGCGAATTGAGCTACCCACCATACGTGGGGTCTACTGTGAAAGGTGGAGACTATTTGCGATAAGTCGGATGGAATGGAAAGGGGAAGGAATTGAGACTGTGGACTCATAATATCGATTATTGGTAAAATTATGACACGTGGTTCATCCTGTTGCGCTATTTCGTCACCTATTATTTGAAAAATAAAGCTAAAGAGTCGAAGAAAAATGAGAGTCCGATGAGGTTGTTAAAAAAAATAGATATTTAGGTTTCGATTTAAAGAATTGAATATTTTATGTTAAAAAAAGGTGAAACGACTGAAGATATGGTCATCGAGGGAATTCTGGACTTAATTAGTATTGAGGGTATGTCCTTGTTCGACTGATTTTTGATTAGACTAAACAGCTTTTGAACTTGTTTTAAGTGTTTTGTAGCATTTTTATTTTTCGTAATGTTTTACTTGTTTTTTTGAGGTTCTTTCCTCTCTTACTTTTTAAGCTATTTAGTCGAAGCTATGTAGCCGGTTAATAAGTCGAAGCTATGTAGCCGGTTAATAAGTCGAAGCTATGTAGCCGGTTAATAATTCGAAGCTATGTAGCCGGTTAATAAGTCGAACCAGGACACACCCTGAATGTTTATATATGAAATATTTCGAAATACCTATTAATTTTATTCAAAATAATGTACAATAAAAATCTTCATTGTTTTATTGTATGCTTTTTTAAAATAATATTATATCAAAAAAATAATATTAATTCATCAAAGCGTTATAAAACTTTAACCTGTTGTCTAAACACATTTTAAACGTAAAATATTAAATATTTAAATAATTAATAAAAATAAAAATATGCATTTCCAATCATATTAAATGGTATAATATTATTTTTTAAACCTCGCCATTCAACGGGTCGATCTTCCCCTTCCTCGTGGCTGGAACACGCGCTAAGCGGTAAAAACTCGTGTTCAAAACCTAAGGAATCGTATTTCCAATTTTCGCTTTTAAGTATTAGGGTACGTTTGGAAGAGAACGCGACTACAAGGCAATAGATTACGTGATGTATTTGACAACCGAACCCGCAAGACTTATCGACGTCGCAGATCAGCTTTCGGGCAGTGGTACAATTTTTGGGATTCTTTTTTTTGTTTCATGGGAGTTCATTATAAATAAAAGTCACAACACGAACGCCACGTACAAAAAAATTTATCTTTTAAAAATGACGAGACCATGTCAAACTTTGCAAAAAATCTTATGTCAGACCCTAAAGTTATAGAATAAAATAATGGAGATCATACAAAACGACAATGCTTTGAAATTTTGTGTATTTATTTTATTAATTATAATTGTTATTAGTATAAATATGCATGAATCGGCCCACCTGGTATTCTATAATTCTTTGATTAACAAGTTCGGAGAGACGAGCGTTTAACCGAGTTTTCCATAAGTCATCTGAAATATCTTTCATTAAATCGGATTGACTGAGGAGATCGCTATAATAATTTTTGCGTTATTATTTTCAAATTAATTAATTTATTTATATAATACAATCTCTAACACATCAATTAGTAGGCTGAGTATAGTGTATGCTATTTTTTTGATAAATCAAAATATATTAAAACTATTATTAATTATAGTGTGATCTCCTATTTAAAATACAAGAAAAAAAAATTTTTTGTTTAACCGTTCTGAAATTTTAAAAAAAAAATGGATATAGAGAACATAAAATCCTAAATTTAGTACATAAATATTATGCTAACCTAAATGAAATTTAAAGTGTGCCGACGATATATATATATACTTTAAAAATATCAGATAATAACTTAAGGATTTGTTTGATGAACACGTCCATGTGATTTAACTTATCGTTTAGCAAGTTGGCATTTAAAGAACCAGAATTTCCGGAGGATATTTGTTTGTTTAGACTAGATTTAAAATCGGAAAAACGGTTCGATATAAATTTGTGCAAATGGCCCAAACCGAGTTGCACTTTTCTTCGATAATGCTCGGATTTTATGTAGGGCATTTGGGATATATTGACGTATTTTGGTTTATTAACGAGGTAATCATCGATATCTAATTATAATATATATATTTTTTTTAAAAAAATATTAAAATCAATTAATCTTTCTTTCATTCTCTTCTCCCCCCCCCCCCCAAGTGTATTAGCAATATTCAAATCGAAAAAATACTTTTTAAAAAAATCTAATTAATCATATTCAAATATGGTACCCTATATTTTCAACAACGAATTAATAATATTTTTTTTAAAAAATGTAATTGATATTGATTGAATAAATTTAAATATTGGTAATTAAACCAATTGATTTATGAGCGTTATGTTAATTTATTTTCAATATAAATATAATTCAAAAAATATTTTATTTCTAAAAAATATATTACTTATTTAATTTGATCAATATTTTTATGAGAGTTAAAGTAAATGAAGGGATGACACCCATAAAGTATTCTATATCTGGTTAAATGATAAGTAAAACGCTAGCACGATGAATAGCCACAGCTTGTTGATTATAAAGGAGAATCATAAGGACATTAGATAAGTATTTATCTCACAGACCTGCAGACCCGGCCCGTCCGTATTTTAATTTTTTAGAACCGGGCCAGCAATAAAAAAATTATAGAAGTATGAAAACCCCGTTTTTTCGAGATAAAACAAACTATATTTATTTCGTTAAACAAAAAGTAATTTATTGTTTAGTATATTTTTTCCCTTTTTTTATGCCTAGTTTATTCAACGAGAGGTGCTGTTTAAATAAAATTCTTCCGTTTATTTTTAAATAAACAATTTTAATTTTAAATCGATTTTATATAATTTTTATATATATTAACTAAAGTTATCCAATAATTTAATAAAAAAATTGTCGGGTAAGTTAAGAAATTTGTAAAGTCTGCCCAGTCCGAAAGCCCGATCCAAAAAATATTAAAACGGACCTGCAATACATAAAAAATATGGGCAGGACAATAAATACATTAAAAAATCCGGGTAGAATAGGCCAGCTCGGGCACTAAAAATTTGATATATATTTTTTTTTTCAACTTCAAGCTAAGATTTGGATTAAAATACTATTTAAAAATAAATTATAATATGCTTATTTCTTTGTATTTTAAGAGCTGTCTAACTAAAACACTATACCTATAAGAATAAGTAAATTAACAAAAAATACGTTATTTATGATATGATACCATTACAAATAGGGGAGACCGGGGATAGTGTGTTCCCGGGGTAGGTATTTCCTTCTCAAATAATTTAAAAATTAATAAAGTTTAAGATTTGAAATTTAAGCCAAATATATATTATAATAAGGTGATTAAGTAGGTCCAAAATTGTTTCGGACAAAATTGCTCATGAAAAATTTTAAATGCAAATTTAAGTTTCAACATACCCAAAGTAACTTTTTTATATTTTACATTTTCACGAATAACTTTTTTTATAAAAGTTGTTCAGACTTAATATAAATACTAAATGATAAAAAAATCTCCATTTTATCATATATAAAAATATTGACAATCATTATGTTAATTTAATATTCTAAATTTAATTTTTAAATGATCCTGTGGACCTGGGGAAGGTATTAGCGGGGTGCGTCTTTTCCTTTTACATACATTCATTAAAATATTGGTTCTGATTTTGTAAAATGGTTTGAACATATATTAGAAAAACTAACAAAGAAAATAATGATAATCAAAAGGCAAGTATTCTTCAAATGCTGAAAGATAAGATACCTTTGACAGTTATAACCATGAATACGAATTTAAGTTATGGGAGGTATATTTATATATTTAAATTAGTATGTATTTAAGAAACTAAGCATTAAGAGGTATAATAAATTGTTCAAAAGGAATGAAGATTTTCAAGAGCGATATCTTCACAGATCAGTATTTTCTCCTATTCAAGAAGCTAAATTAACAGATTATTTAATTAAAGGATCAAGATTATTTTCAGGATTATGCCCTAAACAAGTATTTTAATCCTTTGTTATATCATATATCTCTGTAAAATGAATTTTTTTATAATCTTTAAATTTATACCATGGTATTTCTTTAGTTAAATAATAATAAACTTGAGAAAATTTTTTTAAAATTATTTACATTATATGTTAATGAAACATCTTTATTAATTTTAAAATACTTTAAAGTAAGAATTTAATTTATACATTAGAGTGACAAATATCTAATAAGTGCAAAATTGCACATCGTCGGTAAGATGATATTAAATTAGCAAATGTAGAGATTTAAAACGAAGAGGCAATTTGACTTAAAAAGGTCAACTCAATATTTTAGTCAGAAAAATATTGAATTTCGTTAATAGATGGTCAAATCTTTGTGACGTTTGTGAGAAAAATCTCCAGGCTTGCGTTATATTTTTCTGGATAAAATACTGAGTTAGCCATTTTAAAAAACTGGCTCAAATGGAGCGATTTTGCATCACTCATGATATGGATGTTATGAAATTTTTTTAGAGAAAAGAGGATCAAGCTTTCGAATCTTTACAGGTTAACCAAAAAAAATTTTTGTGTTCCGACAAATTAGCAAATAAAAAGGAGTTTCTCTATGGTCTGATTAACGCGGAATACAAGGAGTCCTTATGTCCAGCAACTTAAAATAAAATTATTTTTATTCATGCTAACAAATTACAAAATTGAGTTTAAATTTATAATTCGTTTTTTTTTCAGTAAAAATAAAAATATACGGATATTTCTGTAGTATGCACATCATTTTTAATTTAATTTCGCTTCTCTTAAGAAAAATTCGATTACCAATTTAAAAAATTTATGTCAGTGCGCCGATTTAAGCTGGCTATGTTAAAAGCGGCGCGTCAACGATTAGATTTATAAAACTTTCGTCTGTTGCCGATAGTTTCGTCGGGGCACAAGTTTAGATATTAAAAATGTTATGGCCAGAAAATTCTTATAAAAAATTGACCGGGCGAATTACCTAAAAATTTAACGGGCCGGTCCAGATAACTTGTAAAAAAATTCTTAATGGGCCAGGTTTTGTTTATCTCTACTATACATACTCTGAAATATAAATCGCGTAAAATAAAGTTTATGTAAAAAATGTGCCATAAAATTTAAATGTTAAAAATCCCAATAAACCCTACAACGTATATATATATATAATATACAGTAAAACCAGTCTAATTTGGGCATAGTTGGGACCAAGAATTTAGCCTAGACAGTTGCCCAATTTATTAACACTAATAGTGGGTTATAGAAATTTGATTGGAATTCAAAATTTTGGTCAAATTAGGGACGAATTATCACGAGCCTAAATTAGACAAGTTTTACTGTAAACCAAATCATATTTCCACCCTTAAAGTACATTCATTATCCCAGTTTACGATAAAATAAAATACACCAAAATTAAGAATTAAAATAATTAGTTAATTTTAAGTTATAAGAATAATTAATAAAGGTTAAAATAAAACAGTATTAAAATTGGAATAATGAGGTTAATGGGGTTGCTGTGACGTGTAACAAAATCGATAAGAAAGGAGTTTAAAATATGACAAGTAATTATTTTCACTTTTCTAAATTGCATTGTGGGGAATCGGAAAAATTTTATACAATTGGAAATCAGGTTTTAAGATTTGAAAGATTTAACATTCAATTAATAATTAATGAGTAATTAATTTTAATCGATATGAAAAATTAGGCAGCAAATTTTTAATTTTTTTTAGTTTCATTTTTAAATATATTTGAATGAATATAATATGAGGTATTGTGCTTAAATATTTATATGAGCCATTACATTGACATAAGGATTAAAGCCTACTATGCATTACCAATTAATGTTCCGGTTTCATTTATGGATTGACACTTGTTCTTAAGGTGAATAACCTTTTACCCCCACCCCCAAACAAAGCCAAAAAATATGGAACAAGGACCCAAAATGGTTATAAAATCAAAAATTGCCAATTTTTAACCAAAATAAGTGTTCGCGTTTTAGGTTTTTTATATCGATTTTTTTTTAAAAAAAAAAGATGTATATTTATATATTTTAATATAAATTTAGATTTATATGATAATTTTTTAGTTTTAAGATTTTTTTAAATCCATTTTTCTAGATAATGCCGCGTTTCTCAGATTGATAAACGATATCGGCAATTTTTAAAACTACTAAAGTTAGAAAAAAGACCCGCGAATATATGAATTTTTATCGCCATAATACACATAAATTCACAAGAAAGTTTGTTTGAAATTTGTAGGGTGAATACTAGTGTTGTTAAACGGCTCTGAGTCGATTTTTAAAAACGGCCAACTTAATATTTTAGCCAAAAAAATATTTCATAATCCTCGAAATTTCGCTAATAGATGTCTAAACCTTTAAACCATCTTTGAACAAAATCTTTAAGCCTACGTAATATTACTGAAATCAGGGATTGGATAAAAAAAAAAAAATTTTTTTCAGTTATCATTGAATCCCTTAATTTATCCGATTTTAAAAAAAGGTAAACTCACCCATGGTGAGTTGCCTACAAATGGTACAAAGGTTTGGCCATCTATTGATGTAATTTCGAGGCTTATTAGGTAATAATATTTTGCCTAAACTTAATTTAGCCGTTTCTTAAATGGTAAATTTTGGAGATGAGAAAAACGAAATACACTGAATCATTCGTAAAAAGTAGTTGCTATCAGATCTGTATCGGTTATCGGATAGGTTATTTAGTAACATCGAAAAATTTCGAATCAAGTTGAATCGGTGAAAAATTTGTGGATGGGCAAAACCCTAATAAATAACTCTGTTAATTTTTTATTTTGAATTTACTACTAAAGATTTAATATTTTAGTTAAAATAACCCTTAAAATACAAAGGAAAAAAAGGCAGTTTTCAAATAGTACTGATCAAAATATGCGTTTGAAATTTAAAAATTTTATCAAAAAATTTATGCCCCGTTAGGACTATTAAAATTTTACGAAAAATTGTCGGGCCTGGCCGGGAAATTTTTTATGTACAAATTGTCCGGTCCGTTATAATTTTTTTTAAAATGCGAACCGAGATCTCTAATACTGATTTAAAAGATTTAATCAAAATAGCAATCAAGTCCAAATCCAAAGATCATATTTTAACATAAATCTTTAAATTACATTTCCATTTATTCCAAGCGGACTCAGTTAAGTCATATTTCTCATAATCAAGCGTGTAAAGATGATATATATATATATATATTTTTGATATTTATTAAATATTTAATACACATAATGGAAAATCTAACAAATATAAAAACTTTAAAAAAAATGGAATCGATTAACTTTCTTTAAATATAATTATATAGGTTAATTTCCACCATTAATAAATTACTGTTGCTATTATAGTTTTTATTTATAATATAGCATATAATTTCGAAATCTGGAATAATATATTAATCTATTTTCACAAATATTTTTATGACAAAGTTAAACATATAGGGTCGATAATTCTATAAGTATAATTATGTTTAACTGAAAATTATCAGAGATGGTGTTATCATTTCAATTTATATTTTATTTATTATTATAAAAATAAATTTTTATTAATTTTAAACACAATTCAAAATAAATTACCAGATCAGCAATTTTTTAAAAAAATATATATGTATAAACTAAAGCTTTGTATTTTTCATCCTTTTAATTAATTTATCTTGCTTTTGTGTAAATATTATTTTCTTTTTTTTTCTTTTTTCTGACCTTTGCAAAATTTTACTTTGGCATCGTTTCAATATTATAAAATTTAAGCTTTTAAATGTTAAATAAAATATTCGTTTACACGTCATATCAGGATTACCAGGTCAAAATTTTCAAATTATAGAGAAAATTTTATTGCAGACTTTTAGTCCACAAGAGTTCAGCTTCAAAACGGGTAAGGAAATAGGGCTTTGACTCCCTTTTTTATTCAGTTTTTACTACATTCTATTCTTCTACATCGTGTTATTCCAAAACTAGTTGGGGTCTTAAAAAGGCGTCACTTCCATAGGTTAGTCTTGGTTACGTCTACATCTTGTTAGTTGGCCCGTAACTTTAAGATCGAGAAATTGTCAATTCACTTTAGTTGGTCAGTCTTTGACATAAGTTCATACCATTTCAGTCTGCTCTCCTGTATCTTTTACGACAAGGGAGTGACATCCATCTTGTCTTTTAGGTTATCATTAGTCATACGATCCAGCTTGGTATATCCTAGGCTTCGGATCATTAATATTTCGGTTACATCTCTTTTTCTCAACAGCTTACAATGCCCAAGTTTCACATCAAACAACAAGACCGGTCTGACGTGGCATATTATTTTATTATTTATAGTGTTATCAAATTTAAGGCGTTTTAAACAATCGCTCAATTTGGAAGCACTAGTAGTTATTTTTTTCAGATAATATATACTCTCCGATAATTTATATTTTCCTTTTTTTGTAATAGATTAGCATTATTTCTTTAAGAAATTTTTTGTAATCTAAAAAATGTGTTTTGCAGGACCAAATTATTATGTATTTTTTAAATGTATTTCTTTAAAAACTTAAAAATCTGCAATATTGGAAAAATGTCTTGGCTGCTTATATAAAATGTGATACTTTTTATAAGTTGGAAATTGAACTTTGAAGGTCTCTATTTAAAAGATAGTAAATATATTGATAAAATTTACTTGAATTTATAATTACAAAAGATAAAGAAAATAAATGTCATGTTATTTGTTAAAAGATATTTTATGATTATAATGATTTCTTTTAAAGCACTCTGCCAATAAAGGTGCATAATTTTGGGTGATCCTAGGGAAGGTTTTCACCAATGAATTTCAATAGAAATATGATCACATAGAATATCAAATTCATAGTGACATTACCCAAAGGCACCTTCACACGTTTTTTTAAGCATATTTTATTTTTATGTGGCTTATATGGTATCTTATATTATAAATAGTAATCTTTTTTAAATTAAAATAAAAAAGTCATTATATTTTTAAAAAAAATTTAAACTAACTTCCAATAGAAAGAGGAAGGGTTCTGGGATTTAATTTAAGGATACATTTCTATACTTTTTTTAACTAAAACACACTAGAAATGTTTATTGATAATTTTATTTTAATTTATTTTTAATATAAAAAAAAGTAAACAAATATCATTTCTAAAACAAATAATTTATTATTTAATAATGTTAAAATTTTTAAAATTGTGGGAAAATATGAGATTTATGATAGAGTTCTGTACACATTAAGGAAAAATAATTATGAAATCAAAATTCCTGCCCTGAGAATTATAGGGAAGGTAATTTTAAGAAGTTTTGGAAAAATGTCTTATCAAGTTATTTTAACCTAAAATGAATAATCCTTGACTCCAATATCTAATTCATTAAAAATCAGCTAATATAAAAATGCCTCAAGAAATCAAAATATTGTAATAGAGTACATATATGATGGATAATCTTTTTAATGTATTTTGAAATTTTTCTTATGATTAAAATATTCGGAGTTAATTAACAATATTCCTGGAAATTTTAATGGAGATTTAGAATTATGTTCCTGGTAATGTTCATAAGAATATGCCCAAAATTCCCAGGAATATGTCCAGCCTTTTATATTAGTAATCATGCCTCATTTATTATCTTTTTCTTTGTAATGTATGAAAGTTTTTTGATGAGGAAGCCATGCATAAAGGGGTTAAATTATAACATAATATTATATTATAGGCTAGTAGTATTATGAAAAAAACCATTTATAATATCTAATCAGGGAGCCATTATTTTAATTGATATATATCATGCCATATATTTATCCAAAACTCTTTTTAAATTAATTCATTTATAAAATATAAATCACAAAATATTCCATTATACTTTATAATGGTAAATAGTGATGTTAAAAGGCTCGCTAGCCATATTACAAATGTATGTAAATTCAATTGTAAAATTTATCTAGAAGGGTGGGAGAGGGGAGGGTTCAAATTAAGAAACTCTTGAAGATTTAATAAAAATAATTTAAATAAATCTATTAAATAATGATATTTATTAAATACAATTTGATTTTAATTAACAAAATATTGTTATTCATGCATATAGTTAAGTAACTATAAATAATAAAACAAATGTTAGCCTTTCTGAAACATATCAAGTTATGTTTATAATTAAGTAATTACCTAATATCGATTGTAATTTGAAATGAGTTTCTACTGGTTTATAAGATTGAAATTTTGAACGTTGATTTCTAAATTTAGAAATATCTTATTAGTTAATTTTAATAAATTACCTTAATTTTATAAATATATTGTATAGTTCAGAATTTTGTTTTTGCAATGCTTTAATTTGATTTTCAGCTAATGTCAATTCTAAGTTGTACTCCTGGAAAAATAGGTATTTTTTGGATAAGAGCAAATATATTGCACAAAGACCCCATATTAAGAGAATAGATATTATAGTGTATTTAAGTTTTCCAAGTATCATTATAGAATATTTTTTGTACATCTCATCACTACAACATTATTTTATCACAAAAAACTGAAAAACAAAAAAAAATTTGAAACATATCATCATGTTCATGATTAGGTTGCGTTTAGTCGAATCAATAACAATATGTTTACTCAATGACATTAAAAATTCTTCATAGAATCTAAAAAGAGAGAAACTAGATGTAATAAAAAATATATAATAGCTAATTAAAGAGTTTATAAACAAAGTATATAAGATATATGTAGGGATTTTAGGGATTCAATTTGACAATAATTAAGGATTTTTATTTAAGTAATAAAATAATTATTTCGGTAAAAGATAATTTTATATAAAAAAAAACATTTTAATATAATTTCAACAGTAAAATAAATTAACTTTTACAATTATCGTTACTTTATATATTTGATTTATAGCCACAAAATAATATACAAACAGATAATAATATAAAGTATTTTATATATAATATTATTACATGAATCAAATAAAATTTATAAAAATAAGAAAAAAATGTATATTACATGGGGAAAGGATGAACGTGATTCCGTATTAATATATTAAATAATAAGGGTCTTATTACATTTTAATAAATTTTGGTCGGTATTTAGCAAAGGTTGGTATTTAGAATATTTCCATAGATTCACTTGAGAATAATTGGCTGTCAGACTTATGACATTCTAGCCAATATTATTGCAGAAATCCATAGGTCTTACAAAATTCAAAACAAGGTTAAGATGATTACGGATAATGGGTCTAATTTCCTGAAGGCCTTCAGGTTTTAAATTTATTATAATTTTTTTATAATATGATAATGTAATAGCTGCTATCGTTCATCCTAGTTTTAAGTTAAATTGACCATACATTAATTTAACTGAATCTAAAGGGCAACTTGATAGGCTGATGGTAACGTTAAAAAATGGCATGCCTAACTACGATACCATAGCAAGATCGAAACCGCAGCCTTCCATAGACGATTTTTTTGAAATAAATAATAATAATATTATTATTGAACCTCTAGATGCTTTTTTTAAATCTAAAAATACTAATTTAAATATTTTTGATGATTTTTTTCATATAAAAAGTTTGTTTATTAAATTTAATACTGCGTTGCCCTCAAGTGCTAGTGCTGAACGATAATTTAGTATGGCAAAGCTTATACTTTCAGATCGTCGCTCTAGACTTGGGGATGACAGTACCGAAATGTTATTATTATTAAAGTGCAATAATAAATAAATTATATATATATGTAACAAATTATAGTCATGTTTTTCAATATTTTATTTGTGGAAATAAAGATACGTAAAAAAAAATATTTTAAAAAAAAATCAAAGTAGCGTAAAAAGTAGCTTAAAGTAGCTAATAGCGCGCTACTCATTTGAAAACGATAGCGGTAGCGATAGCGAACTACTTTTATTATAAAATAGCGGTAGCGATAGCGCGCTACTTTTAAAAGTAGCGTTTAACAACACTGCACGACACCCCCACTGGACATATTTCATCACCTCTGACAATTCCTACCACCATGCTGTAAATTCCATATATAGTAAAATACTCCTTCTAAACCCTGAAACACAGTCGCCATCTATATCTGAAATATCGGTGCAGACACACTCAAACCAACAGCAACCTCCGAAATCAAACAACCCCTTTGGTGTAGTTATAGTCAACAACCTCTGCATCTCTTTCCTCACCCGTAATTGCAAATATGCATTCGAAAAATCCACTAGAAAACATCTGTCCCCATTCAAATAGAACAATGTTTCCTCTATCCTGGTTAACGGATACTTCACCTCAACCACATATGATTCAAACGTTACCCGGAAATCCGCATACAACCGCAACTTCCCATTGGCCTTCTTCATGGGTACCAAAGGCGTCGCCCACTCGCTGTACTCAACCGGGCTCACTATGCCCTCTTCTAACCAGCGATCTAACTCTCTCTCCACCTCCTGCCTCCATTCAAAATAACTCTATGCACAGCACAATATTTTGGTTAGTGTTGTTAAACGGCTCGTTTTGAGCCGATTTTTAAATACGGCTATCCAGAAAAATATTACGCAAGCCAAAAGATCATAGTAGGAACATAGACCAGGGCCTTAGCCAGAAATTTTTCGCTAGGGGGGCCTGCTGCTTACTTAAGGGGGCCACTATTTTTTTTTAAATAAAACAAATAATTAAGCATTTATATAATTTTTATTTTTATTAGAAATTTATTAATGTAATATAAATACAAAATAATATTATATTTACAATTCTTTAAATGCATGATGATATTTTTTTATTCATAATATTTAGGATAAAATTATGTGTTTTTTTAACTTCTGCAGGTAATAATCCTTATGCTATTTTCATTTTATAATGTAACGTTTCAATATTTAAGTTTAATAATAATTCTAAGAGGCCATTTTATCCGATATAAAATAATCAGGGTCAAAGTGGGATAATGTATTAAAACATGATAGAAGATTATAGTCATCTTATGTAAATCTATCTCAAAAACGATCAACACAAAGTAATCAATAATTTCATACAATCAAATTGTAATTTGGTATCGACTAAATCTTAAAAATTTATAAGCATTTTACGTACCCTTGATAATTTGTTGGGAGTGAGATTAAATTTTCTAAAAATTTTCAGCCTTAATTCTAATCAAATCAAGATAATTGTCGCTTCTTACTAAATTAATATCTACTGACTGTAGATTCCTATTTAGTGGATCTTTTGTTTTTATATCTCATAAATTATAATGGCGAATATAACGTAATTTATATTAACGCATTGAGATAAAAGACAAACTCAATCATGAGTGGAAACCTTTGAATTAAGAGTTCTATTAGTAAAGTAAATTAAAACTTCACCAATAGCCTTTAAGAGAGATGTTTCTAAATGACCAGTCCACCTCTGGTCTAAAAGTCTCTCAAGAGTATGGCTTGAATATCAGGATACGCTAAAGCGCCTCAAAAATTATATAACGCATTGGATATATTAAAAAAATTAGAAATGATAACCATAATATATTTTGAACCACAAGATGCAATATTGGTTGTAGCAATGTATAAAAGGAACTTTTTTATTAATTTTTCTTTTGAAGTACGGTTTGCACCTCTTCATTTTAGCCAGAAATAACGTTTGCCCCATCATATGCCTGGCTTATTATATTCATTTAATTAATATTTAACCCATTAAGTTGCTTTAAAATGCAATTAGTAATGCTTTCAGCAGAACAGAAAGATATTGTAAATTAATAATTCCTCTTAAATTTTCTTAGAATTCTCTAGAAAAAATATAGCAAATAATAATACTCATGTTTTCCCAACATTATGCATCTTTTATCTCATCAGCCTTAAGACAAATAAAGGCATCTCACTTTTGTTATATTTATCTGATATTCAAACACCATATCTGCTATAAGAGATATTACTTCGTATTGAATCTGGGGTGATGTATATTGGGCATTTTGGGTATAAATTTCAAATTTTATTTAATTCAGGATCTTTTTGGATGGTGTATGATAATATTACTATAAATAGTTAGTGTTGTTAAACGGCTCGTTTTGAGTCGATTTTTAAAAATGGATAACACAGTATTTTATCCAGAAAAATAAATTTTGTTCATAGAAGGAGCAAAGGTCTAGACATATAGTATCGAAATTTCAAGGCTTACTCAATATTTTTCTGGCTAAAATAATGAGTTTGCCGTTTTTTAAAATCGGCTCAAAACGAGCCATTTAACAACATTATCTAATATGTTTGCTAATTAAATAAAAATACTCGCCGAAAAATATGATAAAATACCGAATAGGTGAATTTTTTGTTATACCATGTCGAATATTATTTTTAAAAATTCCATGCCAAAAAATTTTTTTTTTTAACACGGGCAGAGCCGGGCCATAAGAAATTTTTGAAAAAAAATATGCGCCAGGCCGGGCCGAAATTTTTTTTTAAAAAAAACGTTCCGGGCCGGGCCGTGCAAATGGTACCTTTGCAGGTCTCTGATATATATTATAAATAATAATAATTAAAATTTTATATTAATGTATTATATTAAATTATAATAAACTATTTTAATTATATAAATAAATTTAAATATTAAATATAATATTAAATATAATATTAGATATAATATAAATTATACTAATTATGTAAACTAGTTTAATTTTCTATATATTTTGTTGTCCCAGAAGCCGACCAAGGTCGGCTCATGTTGCCCATTGGGTCGGGTCTGAATGGCTAAATGGGTTGGATCGGGTTTAAGGTTGTTTTTTTCGGCTCAAACCTTGTTGGGCTATTGGCTAAACCCATCCGACAGCAATTTAACAGCACTACTGCAGAGAAATCAATATTAGTTTTAACTCTCTTGCAATTGTGGGAATATTAATAGATATTGATAAAGCATTTATTATTTTGTATGATTGATCTTCATGTATTCTGTTGGGTCTCGTGATCAATATAAAAATTTATCAATAAGATCACCGCCTACATGATAAGATTTTTATTGGATGTAAACATCCCTTTATAGCCTTTATCTACCCCCCTAATATTCCCACCCTTTTTGGTGGCGATGTTTTAATTATACCTTTAATAATAATAAAACTTCTTTTATAAATTTTAAAAAGAATAACTTAAATTATTTTAGATCTACTACTAACCAAAATATTGTGAATATAAAAGAGTTATTTTTTAGATCATGAATTCAATTTTAAACCATCTCTTTTTCAATGATTTGGCATGAATATGAGTTTGCCGAAAATGTTCAATCCTTTTAAATGCAGAAAATTTTTTCATAGAAAATATTATCTGTTTACATGTAATATATAGATTTGGTCGATGATGAGATATTATTATATATTATAGGTCTATAAAAAAAGTATTAATTTTAGAGCAATATATATTGCCCTATTTCTTATGACATATATAATATATAGACTGACGATTCATTTATTAAGTGTAGGGCAGCATTTAAAAATGATATATATTGATTTTGATTTTAAAAAATTATAAGTAACGTTATAACGCTCAATAAAATTTGCTAGATCAAAGTCAAAATGTTTTGACTTCAAAATTTGCCGGATCCATTTTACGGAAGGTATCGGAACGGACGCAATATGAAGATGTATATCATTTTTAATGAGATTGACATTTGACGGAACATATGTAAAATTGGATCTGTTTCCACTTTGAATGCAGCCTAGATCAGCTGGAGATGCCATCTTGGTTACACTAATAATTATTAAAATTTTAAATGAGAACATAATTTATTCCTATATCTTATGCAAGCTTTTTTAAAGAATTACCGGATCATCGAGATATTAAGGTAGAAAATTATCAATTTAATAGTAGTTTTAAACATGCTATATGTGTTACCAAAATGGCGGGTCCAACCATTTTAATGAATAAATTGTCAGTCTAGGTATTATATATGTCATTGCCTAAATTTCCCCAATAAAATTATACTAGCCCCTTTAAAGGCGCCTACCCCTACCCTTTCAAAGAAAATTGGATGTAAACTGTTTTCACACCCCTCCATCTTATGTAGACACGGACCAACATTTTAATTTGGAGCAAAGTATGTAAGTCTACCCTATACACAGGATGTTCAATCAATTCGCTCATTCAGCGTCTACATAACAGCATTTTCACTGGATGCAAATCCCCTTCAAAAATCTTTGCCTACCCCCCTCCCCCCTAAAAATTCCGTCGCCTTCGGCGGCGGTGTCTCCCTATTATTATTTTTAACTTTTTAATTTATTGATACTCTTTTCAGAGACTTTATAAAGGATAACTTAAATTCAGGGATCCAAACCGAACCTGAACCGAACCGTTAAACCACTAAAAACCGGTATTTTTATCAAACTCAAACCGAACCTAAACCTCAAAAAAATTTCTAGCTGAACCTGAACCGAACCGCTAAAATGCCTCTGAACCAGTTTGAGTCTCATAATTTTATGCTTATAAAATAATGTGTAAGTTATTACTAGTAGTATATAGCAAAAATTTTAATTATATTCAAATTGTTTTAAAAATTATTATCAACACATTTAATTGATAAACGTCAGTCATAATTTTTATAAACTTTAGTATATTGCCATTTTACAACATTTTTTAAATATTTTAAGCTTGTAAATTATGATACCTAGAAAAAAATTTAATCTAATATATAAATTATTTACATATAGTACTAATGTGATCATACTGTCAATGCCAGTTACCCAAGTTAGAGTGGAAAGATGTTTTCCAACAATTAAATTTATTTTATCTCCTTATAGATGTAATTTTAGTGAGACGAATTTTGAAAATATATTAATTGTGCGGCTTAATAAAAATTTTTTAAGTAATTGTTCAAATTAAAATAATTCATTGATATATTTATTTGTTATATTTATAAATTAAATATTATTTTATAATGTGCAATTAATAAAAATGAAGGTTTTTATTTTAATTATAAAATAAAAAAAAAATTTCCTTATACAATATCCTAAAGTAGGTTTGAATACAAAAATTTTCAAACCGGTTTTTAGATGTTTGAACCGAACCGATATTTTTATTTTTTGCAAACCGAACCGGAACCTTGAACCGTTATTTTTATCCGAACCTGAAACGAACCGATATTCGTTTCGGTTTGGATCCCTGCTTAAATTAATCTATCTCTACTACCAACTATCGATATTTTGTGAATATAAAGAATTTATTTTTTAGATAATAAATTCAATTAAAACCTCCATTATTTACAATGAATTAATTATTATGGCAATATGAGCTTTCTGAAATATCTAGACCTTTTAAATTACATTTAAAAGGATAGCAGAAAGTTTTATTTGGAAATGTGAATGATTGTTTGCAATATATAGATTTGGTAGATGAATTGTATTATAATAATTCTATGATAAAAAGTATTAATTTTTACAGCAATAAATTTTGTACTATTTGATCTCAAAATTTAATAGATAACCCCCAAAAATTTATCTTACCATAATTAAAGCAGCCTATCCCCTACCCCCCTTAAAAAATAGGATGCGAATTGTTCCTACCCCTCCCGCTCATGAAAATATAAAGTTAAGATGATCTCTGGCATAGGCATTATAGTATCCCTCGTTGGGATCCTCGGTAGTAGAGATCCGGTGCCCCAGCTTTTTAAAAAAGGCCAGGTCATGATAGCCGAACGACGTTAAAGTAGTGGCGATTAATAGTAGGAATGTATAGTTGACAGGCAGCGATGACGAATATTTAGCATATTAACCTCGGTGTCTAGTACAGCGTCCATTTATTTGGAGGGGCAAGATGATCGATGCATCAGAAAGCCCATGCTAGGAGTTCCCTACTCTCAATGGGATCATGGTAGAACAATCAGACCTTTAATCATCGAATTGTAACGACTGAAATATATAGCGGTCATGTAATTTTCATAGTAAAAAATAATATATAATAACAAACATTGATACTCAGTATACACATATAATTTCATTAAATAATCACACAAATGATGAAAATATAATCTTTAATATCAATATTAATTGTAAATAATATTTTATAATATTAAATACAAAACAATTCTATAAATATTAAATGCAAAACAATTTTATAAATATTAATTGCAAAACAATTTTATAAATATTAATTACAAAACAATTTTATAAATATCAGATATAAATCAATTTCATCATTCATAAAAGGTAGGGTGAGCCTGATTGACCAAATAATTCACATGATAAACTAGACAAAATCATTTAGAAACTAATTGTAATAGTTTGTTCACTTCTTTAAAGAACATTATAGAATAATAATTCATATTTTACTTTATATCTTTTTTTATCCTAAGAGGTATAATTAGTTATTGCTAACAGTTTTTGAAAAAAATATTTGAAGGAATTATTTCCAAAAATTCTTAAAATATAATATTTACAAATTATAAATTGAGCAATAAATAAGCTTAAGATATTTGAGCATATAAATTTTAAGCTTAAGCGAAATTTAGCGAAAAGTTAAGCGACAAAATACCTAATTAAAACTTAAAAATAGTAAAGGCGGTACGATACGGATAGACTCTACCCATATTATCAATTTAACATGGAAACGGGAGATTTTAAAATATTTCAGGATAAAAAGCGAAAGAGTCTTGATACATTAGAAAAGATAAACATAGAACCATCATATAAAAAATCACAGTTTTCTCTTGCATCAAATTCATATCAGGTAATATTTCTAGTTTATTAATTTAAATTCCATTTAGCATTCAAATGATTTGAGAAAAATATATATACCCTCTCATCGATATACACCATTGAAAGAAAATTGGAAAAAAATATATGTTCCCATAGTTGAACAATTAAAATTGCAAATACGTTTTAATCTTAAAACTAGGAATGTTGAAATGAAAGTAAAATTAAGATTTAATTAATATATTCTATACTGACTTTAGGCAAGTCAACATACAGAAGATATTAGCTCTCTTCAAAAAGGTGCAGATTTTATTAAAGCGTTTGCTCTAGGATTTGATGTTGAAGTAAAATAATTATAATTTCATTAATATGTTTTTGTTAAGGATGCATTGGCCCTGGTTAGAATGGATGAATTGTTTTTAGAGTCATTTGAAATTCAAGATGGTACAATAATTTTATAATTACATTAAAATGGATACCTGTGGGTTTGGAGGAATAATGATGTGATATTTAAAGCTAAGCAGAGCCAGACCAAAAAAGATTAAACAGGCTGGGTTTAAAAAAATAAAAATCTGGACTGGGCTAATCTCAAAAAAATTTTATATTAATTATTAGAAAATCTTAATGAAGTGTTTAAAACTCATGCTTATATCTTTTATTATTGCAAGATTATCATTGAATTTGAAGCTGGCTGAGAAGTTAAGAAAATGATATTGTCATTTGAAAAAAATATGAAGAGGTTGGGGTTAGATTTCATTTTACTAATTTTCTTTTTTTCTACTAATAGATTGAGGGGTTAAATTGTCATTGGCTTAGGAGATGTAGAAGTTCCTGTTTCTAGATGAATATGATATTAAATACTCAATTTATTATTCTATTGATGATTTCAGAGTTTGGCAGCTTTGTGAATACTTATATCTAAGATATAAGATTTTTTAAATATCTTGTACTTTATATCTATAAAAATTTTAATAATACTTTATATATTTTTGTTTAAAAATTTCAACCATTCTTTTCATATATTTTTTTATTAATATTCTTTATTATTTCATATCACACTAACCTTTTTTTTGTATGTAAATTAGACAATTCAATTTTATGATCTTTACATATTCTTATTAATCATTTAGTTATTAACTTATTTTATAGGGTGGAAGAATATATTTATTTATATCTCATTGTTCAACATTTTGGATTGCCTTTTGGACTCAGTTTACTAGCTAGTGTTGTTAAACAGCTCATTTTGTAACTCAATTTTTTAGCTAAAAATCTTGCCTAAGCTTCGAGATTTTGATAATATATGTCCAGACCTTTGTTCCTTCTATGAGCAAAATCTTCAGGCTTGCGAAATATTTTTCTGGATTAAAAGTTAGCCATTTTTAATATCAGCTCAAGCCTAATATTTGAGTAATTTTGATTTGTTTATTGTATATGCCTAATAAAAAATTGTTTGTTTTGATTTTTAATTATATTTAGATTTTATAATCGTCAAAATATAATTTGTTTACCAGTGTTTTTGAACATTTAAAACAATTTTTAATTGATTTGAAAAATCTCATAAAAGTTATATTGAGATTTTTAAAAATGTCAAACCCAATATTTTAGAAAAAAATATGCAACCCATTGTGCTTATAGATGGGAGAAATGTTTGGGCATCTATTAACAAAATCTTGAGGCTTGTATAATGTTTCTTAATAAAAGGCTGAATAGCCATTGGATGACACTACATTTGAATATTAAGTTATGGAATTTGATGTCATTTATCTCTCAACCTTTTGGAGTATTTTTCTCTATATACTTCTGTTGGTAGGGTTCTACATCTCTCCATTTCTTCTCTTATTGCTGGGCACACAAATTTCTCACCTGGCAGATGAATTGAAAAAGATTACAAGTGAATACTGTTTAAAAAAAATGGATTCCATCTACCTCTAGTTATTTTTTATCTAGGAATTATTAAGTATTAATCAGGTACTAAATATTAATACAAAACATATTTAGTTTTTATATTTTTTCCATTCTAGCTTGATACCAATTTTGGCATATTTTTTAATATTTTGCCTAACTTTACTTCTTCTTTTACTGTCTATTAAAGTCGATTAAGAAAACAATTATGCACCAAACTTTAATTAAAATTTTCAGAATAAATTCTTTAAGTCACTTTTTAACTGTATGATTCAAAATTTTATTACTAATAATTTTTCTCTTTATAAGCACTAATAAAGTTCGAAACATTGGCATAAAATTTCAACTTAAATGGAATCCCAAAGATTTAGTTAAATATTTGAGTGATTCATGACAGTTTTTTTGGAGGGGGGGGGGGTCGGGTATTTTTTTCTACCTTCTAAGTTTTTTCTAGCATATTTTAAAATATAAAAGTAAAACGTTATTGTTTCTAGATAAAAAAGTAATTCTGTTACATTTATCTTATGATATTTCTACAATAATTAGGATTTTATTATCCCCTTAAACTTTTTTTTTTACAAACATTATTCACAGAGTTGTTAAAAGATACTTTTTAAATGGATCTCGTCTAAAATAATATCTAGATACAGATATTTTAATCAAAAATCTATCTAGATACAGATACCACATTTTTATATCTAGATACAGGATCTAGTCCTTTAACAACTCTGATTATTCATCTTTATTAAAAATTTATATCTATAAAATTAAAAATACAATTTTATAATAATATAAAACCTAATTAAAAATATTATAATTTATAATTATATAATTAGAAATAAAATTCTATAATTGAGTCCCCAAAAAGGAACCATAATTGTGTCTAAAAATTTATATTTGAATTTTTTGTCGAATAAAAAGGAATTCTATTGGTTCATTTGTGAAAAGTCGTATTTTATGATTTTTTAAAAACAAAAATGTTGAAGGCGAAAAATGCCCGTTAGTAGAAGTCACTACTGAAGTGAATAAACGGTTTTTAAAATTTTTGTATTTGTTTATCTTTTTAATTTCAGCCTGTGTTATTAAATTGAAATTTATGTTTGAAGGGAATGATGATAACACACGTGTAGTCCCATATGAGTGATTTGCCGAGGGCCCAAGGTATGGTTGTCATATCATCAGATCTTAAACCATCTACTTGTAATAAATTTGATGGTTCGAGATTGTTTGGAATGTGTGCTAAACTATATTCATAATAAAAAATAATAAATATATAATTCACATTTTTTATAGTCAAACCATTAAAGGGGGATCATTTGAGTCGTGCTATTGGTAGGATAGCAGGAAAGCATGGCAAAACAAAATTTACTATTGAAAATGTCACAAAAACTAGAATAGTTTTGGCTGAAAAGTATAATTTTTTTAAAAAAAATTTTCATTAAATTTTTTTTAGCAAAATTCATATTCTAGGCTCATTTCAAAATATACGCACAGCAAGAACAACATTATGCAATTTAATTCTAGGTACGAAATTTAATGTATTTCTATCTCAGCTATTTATTTTAAATTTAGGCAGTCCTGCTAATAAAGTTTATGGTAATATGCGATCAATTGCGGCAAGACTTTCTGAAAGATATTAAATTTGTACTATTATTATGATATAGAACATAATAAAATGTGTGATTATATGAATGATTTAAAATTTGTTTAATTTTACTCTGAAACTAATATATTATGATAGAATGCGGATCAGTTACACTTTCTTTATACATTTAAAACTCAATATATTTTTATGTGTTGCTGATTACACGTTACTTTCCAAAGATAGTAACGAATTGGCATTATTTTTTTCTTCGCTTGGCGTTTAAAATCTTTATAACTCTAAAACATTTCACTCGCTATTATATGAAATTTCTTATTTTTTTAAAGAATATATGGAATGTAATATCCTTCAATTTTTTTAAATAACTAGATTAAGTTGTTTTTTTAGGAAATTAAAAATACTAATATTTAACAAAAATAACCTATGACCCTCATTTATTTTTATTTATAAAAATGAGCTAGAAGGGTTCCCATTATATTGATCTATAGCTATACACTCGTCTTTTAAAAAAAATTTTTTTAATTTATAAATTATTATGCAAAATACAAAGCATACTTTAAGATTCTATAAAATTATCAAAATAATAAATATAATATACTAATGTAATATTATTTTAATCTATCCTTTTTTTCTTGTATAACGCCTAAAGATCAACACCAATTTGATTATTTCTTGCGAAATGGGCGATATTTTACCAATTTTTTTTCCAAGTTTATAGGATTCAAAAGGTAGTAGCCTATTACTTGATCATTTTTGGGTATTTGAAACATGTATTTTGAGGTCTCTATTAAAGTCCGTTGAACTAGATGAATTTTCAACTTTTTCCTAGGGAATTCAAGAATCAAACTTGGTGCATTGCAAATTTTCTCATGGCATAATAAAGTCCGTTGAGCTAGATGAATTTTTCACGTTTTCCTAGGGAATTCAAGAATCAAACTTGGTACATTGCAAATTTTCTTATGACATAATTAATCATTATCAGATCTTCTCTTGATAACATTTTAATTTAAAAATTGTCGTATGGTTTTTTATATTTTTAATAAAGACATTTAATAATAAGATTTGTTTGATTACCAAAATATTTTGTATTATAATTTGATTTAGGAGAAATTTAGAATAAAGCGAGCGTCTAGCTACATTTTTTGATTTTCTAAAAACTGACTTGTTAAAATTTAAAATATTTTGAGAATATTAAGATACACAATAATATATTAGATTTCATAAAACGAATGACACGTTTCAGAGTTAAAAGCTTAGTTCGAAATTAATGGCTAAATATCCACAAATATAAGACTAGTATATTTTAAGTCATAATATAAAAAAGGTACCTTAAAAATGTTTAATTTGAGTTTTTGATTTCTTAATATTTATCTATTTTAACGTCAATGTGTTTTTCCGGCAATGTATTATTTTTTTAAGTTTAAATTATTTTTTTAAACGCGTTTTAGAAAATTCAATTTTACCGGAAATGCATTCCATCATGTTTGGAATACCAACTATGAAGTTTTTCAGACAATTTATTCATGAACTTTTAAAACATAATTTATCTTTATCCTTATATATTTTATATAAATGACTCGAAGGTTAACAGCAAAATTGTCTACAATTCATAGAATATTTCTGGTAAAATCCGTTTTTAAATACGAGCTCAAAAAATGATTTAAAGTTGTAAAAATAGCACATTGCAGGAAAAAACATATTGACGCTAACATCATAGATATATATTTATAATATAAGGATCTGAAAATGGCAAAATAATATTTTCTTATTTTACAATAGAGCGAACTTACAGGTTATATAATAGAAAATAACGTATGGTAACATTATGTAGGTATGACTAAATACTGCATTGCTAAAAAGCAATTTCTGATCGGTAGGGCAAAATTTTTTATGTTTTTTATTCGGGTCGGGTCTGCCCCTAAATAAAGATGCAAGCTTTTACAATATTAGAAACCAGAGTTGTACATTTGCTCTTTGAAGATCTTTTACTTTTGAAAAATTTTGAGCAACGATCTTTTATTTTTAAAAAATTTTGAGCAGTGATCTTCAAAGATCTTCAAATTTTATAATGTTATAGTAAATTATTATTTTTTTGATATTATTTTTTGAAGTAAATGGGTTAGTAAGCATGTTAAAAAATAAAAATTCAATAAAGAAGTACCGACAATTTTCATAATCGTTTATTTTTTTAGACTTTTTTTGACATATTTGGGTAAAAAAAAATTTAGCTCCGTGAAGTTGGCAAAACGACTTATGTGCAATTGACAAAATTTATGCCATTATTTAGAGTCTTAATTGCACTTCTATCCAGGCATCAGCAGAATGAACCGTTCCTGAGTTATAAGGAAAGTGAGAAATTTTGATGGTGGCAGAACGACTTGAGGTGCAATTAACAAAAGTTACGCCATTATTTAGAGTCTTAATTGCACCTAATTGCACTTCTATTCGGACATCAGCAGAATGAACCGTTCGTGAGTTATGAGCAAAATAAGAAAGTGTTGGCACTTTGCCAAAACCGAATCCTTTTTTGAAACTTAACAATAATGTAGTATTTGATTTACTCTTTAATATTATCAAACTCGGATATCCGTATGTAAAACCGTAACCGAGCTATAGCTATTTAAAAAACGTGAAGTTGGCAGAACGACTTGAGGTGCAATTAACAAATATTATGCCATTATTTAGAGCCTTAATTGCACCTAATTGCACTTCTATCCGGACATCAGCAGAATCAACCGCTGGTGAGTTATGAGCAAAATAAGAAAGTGCTGGCACTTTGCCAAAACCGAAAATAAATTAGATTACCTTAACTTGGCAATTATTTAGTATTTAATTTGTGCTTTAATATTCTCAAAACCGGATATCCGTATCATCAACCGTAACCGAGTTATATTAATTTATTTGAGAAGCGGAAATGAGCGGAATTCTTTGTAAATGTGAGGTGCAATTAGCGATTCTTATGCCAGTGTGTAGCCCTTTAATTGAACATTAAGAATCTTTAAACGGCATATCAGCAGAATTAACGGCTAGTGAGTTATGAGCAAAATAAGAAAGTGTTGGCACTTTGCCAAAACCGATAAAAATTAAGAATAACTTCCGAAACTTGGCAATTATTTAGTATTCAATTTGTGCTTTAATATTCTCAAAACGGGATATCCGTATCATTAACCGTAACCGAGTTATATTTATTTATTTGAGAAGCGGAAATGAGCGGAATTCTTTGTAAATGTGAGGTGCAATTAGCGATTCTTATGCCAGTGTGTAGCCCTTTAATTGAACATTAAGAATCTTTAAACGGCATATCAGCAGAATTAACGGCTAGTGAGTTATGAGCAAAATAAGAAAGTGTTGGCACTTTGCCAAAACCGAAAAAATTAAGAATAACTTTCGAAACCAATTATTTAGTATTCAATTTGTGCTTTAATATTCTAAAAAAGGGATATACGTATCATCAACCGTAACCGAGTTATATTTATTTATTTGAGAAGCGGAAATGAGCGGAATTCTTTGTAAATATGAGGTGCAATTAGCGATTCTTATGCCAGTGTGTAGCCCTTTAATTGAACATTAAGAATCTTTAAACGGCATATCAGCAGAATTAACAGCTAGTGAGTTATGAGCAAAATAAGAAAGTGTTGGCACTTTGTCAAAACCGAAAAAAATTAAGAATAACTTTCGAAACTTGGCAATTATTTAGTATTCAATTTGTGCTTTAATATTCTCAAAACGGGATATCCGTATCATTAACCGTAACCGAGTTATATTTATTTATTTGAGAAGCGGAAATGAGCGGAATTCTTTGTAAATGTGATGAATTATTTACATAGCTTTTAAAAAAAATTATAATGGGGCTAAACATATTAAATACGAAATTTAACTAATAAATAACTATATAATGGCAAAAATAGGATATTTTCTTCTGCTCTAGATTTTGTTTTGGTGTACCACCATTTATTTGTTATTAACTTTCATTTTTATTTGGGCTATTAAACTTATTAAAGTGCTCAAGAAATAAGTTTCATCGTTAAAGAATACAAAATCTTATTGTTAATAACTCACTTTTCTTTATTTTTTTAGACATGATTTTAAAGAATGCGGAGGATCAATTGAGGCACTAAATATTGGCTCTAAATAAAATTCGAATTTTAGATTTTGGTAAAATGCCAAAACTTTTCTATTTGGCATATAACTCACCAACGGTTCATTCCGCTGGTATGGGGTTTATAGATTCTGGAGGATCAATTAATGTACTACACTTTGGCCCAATTATCGGTAATTGATCCTCACTTTCTAAATTAATTCTTCTAACTTAACGTTTTTAAAACGGTTATAACTCGGTATTGGTTAGTGATATCGATATCCGGTTTATTGATTGTTAATGTACGTATTGAATACTACATAATTGCCAAGTTTCAAAAGATGATCTTTTTTATTTTCGGTTTTGGCAGTTTTGGCAAAGTGCCAATACTTTTTTGTTTTGCTTATAACTCACGAACGGCTCATTCCGTTGATATGCGGTTTAAAGATTCTGGAGGATCAATTAACGCACCACAATTTGGTATAGTTTTTGGTAATTGATCCTCACTTTTTAAAAAAATTCCTACAACTTCACGTTAAAAACAGGTCATAACTCGGTTGCGGTTAGTGATATCGATATCCGGTTTGGAAATTATTAACGCACAAATTAAAGCCTAAATAATTGCCAAATTTCAGATCGTGATCTTTTATATTTTCGGTTATGGCTAAGTGCCAACACTTTCTTATTTTGCTCATAACTCACTAGCCGTTAATTCTGCTGATATGCCGTTTAAAGATTCTTAATGTTCAATTAAAGGGCTACACACTGGCATAAGAATCGCTAATTGCACCTCACATTTACTAAAAGTTCTGCTTATTTCCGCTTCTCAAATAAATAAATATAACTCGGTTACGGTTAATTATACGGATATCCCGTTTTGAGAATATTAAAGCACAAATTGAATACTAAATAATTGCCAAGTTTCGAAAGTTATTCTTAATTTTTTTCGGTTTTGACAAAGTGCCAACACTTTCTTATTTTGCTCATAACTCACTAGCCGTTAATTCTGCTGATATGCAGTTTAAAGATTCTTAATGTTCAATTAAAGGGCTACACACTGGCATAAGAAT